GGACCGTGGTTCTTGGCCGGCCGGCCGGCCGGCCGGCTGGCTGGCTGGCTGATCGAGAAATAGCGGGCCGCGATAAGCTCGCAATGAAAATCAAATCAAAACAACCAAAAATTGCAACTTGCTAGTTGCATCTAGTTGTTAGGGTCTTACCCTGCATGCCTTTCTCTCTCGGCAAGCTCTTTTGTTTATCGGGAAAAACTCCCCAACCCATTCCACCAACGCATCCGAGTCGGGCTTCCCGGCGATTCCCAGCGGTTCTCTCCCAAGGTCAGTTCGAAGCTCCAAGCCACGCCCTCTGCTTCGGACATCGCCTGGGCCGGAGCAAGCTCGCTCGAGCTCGGTCGTCGACCCGCGACCGTTCGAGCGGTCGGACGACCGTCTTCGGTGAAAGATCACACGAGTCGAAAAAGTCGCATGAAGTCGCATGAAGTCGCATGAAGTCGACTGGGATCTGAAGATGAAGCGGTGAATGAAGCAGTGATCTTGGTGGTCCTGAAGATTCAGATTTAAAAAAAAAAAAACTATATACCCAATGATCAGCTCATGAAGCACAAGCTGCTTGAAGGATTTTCACATTCCAAATCCCCAGAGAGGTGCCGCGCCTCGGGCCGTCGTCCAGACCAAGTGCCACAGATCTGATAGCCTCGGTCGGGCCGGCGTCGTCGCTTCACCGGTTCCGCCGGGAACGACGCCGGCAACGCATCCGGACCGCCCAACAGCACGCGAGAGGTCCATCGGAGCTCACGAACAGGGGTATGAACAGGGATACTCTATATATATATATATATATGCGAAGAAATTAGAGCCCTTTGTTGTCGTCGTCTTTCTCGTATCACATGGCAGAAACGAATTATATATCAATTGTGTTGGCTCAGCACATGTGACAAGGGGGTTCTTGGCAGTTCAGTGAACAGGCTGCAACTTGCCGTGGCCGCGAGGTCAACAATTCATGGCAAAGAAACAGACAGTAATTAGCCACTAGAATGCATCAAAATCCTTCAGCACTGGAACCAGCGCACCAAAAACTGACAAACATTGTTCTCCAAACCGCTCACCAAACACCTCAGACCGCCCTGCAGACAATCTCGGACCAAGTGGCTATGACCTTCGCCGTCAGGTTCCACTGTAATCCTAAGGCAGGACGTCTTCCTATGCCAAAGGTCCGCATGACTCCAACGTTTCGCTCCAAACCTCTTGGCTTTCATTGGAATCAATGAATCCAAACGAATCCAAAGATGAATCCGATTGAATTCCCAGCAAACAGGAAGGAACCTTAGAGCCTTGAGTCTGCGCGAAAAAGCCTTGACTCGGGGAACCAACCTGAGACGATTTCGTCTGCAAAGGGGCTTCAGGTTAGATGAAAGCATCTGAAACCCTTGGCCGACGAGACATCAGGATATGTCAGTTGAAGGTCCGTGCCAGGGTCATCCTCACTCTGAGCCAGGATCAATAATTGTTGGAACATCTCAGGAAATTTGCGAGACTGACCTCAGGCAAGACTGACGGATCAATGGTTTTCACACATGCACCAAGGCCGCCCACTCTCGCTGAATGGGCTTCCGGATCGTCACCTGTGGATCAGCTCGTCCCGCTGAACGGATCTGGGTTCACGACTGGAGGGTGAACGATCTCGTCGTGACGCGAGGTCCGTGTCAGACTTCGGAGGGTCCACAGCTAGGAACAAGTGCCACGCTACTAGTAACAGGTGCCTTACTAGTAGTGACAAGAAGCTATTATTTCAATTTTAATTCTAATAGCTTAGAGATTTCTGTCGTTTTACGTCGACTCGAGTTACCGTGTTTAGCGTGGTCGACATGTTCTTTTGAAAACACGACACGTAGTGGGTGATGCTGGCATTCACATGCATTCACCACATGTCGCATTTAAGCGCATCGTAGGGATTCTGTGGTTTCTGTGGTGTCCAACTTAGCGGGAGCTGCTTCCGTTCCTCGATCAGCATGTCTTTTGGCCCATCACTCACATCTGGCATCAGCCTACTGGGATGAATTTAAAAGTAGCATCAATCAAATTCGAAGACCACCAACAAAAATGCTTCATCTTTCAAGGTTGGTCCTTCCTTCTGCTTCACGTCCACTCCCAGTCATACACTCCCAGTCCTCGAAACCTCCCCTGACCCACGTTTTCGTCCAAACATCGAAACGTTCGTCCACACCCCTGGGCCTTCTGATTGGGATTGTACCGGTCCGTGACTTCCGAGACCTCCTGGACCGACCAGAGGAGCTGTCAGTCTGCAGAGAGGCATCCCTCTCCACTAGGAGCCGGCTGGAACCCCAAAGAGCTCCTTGCAGTGGCCATAGAGTTGCAGGTGTTCATATAACATCATCTAACCATTCCGCACAGAAATCTGTGCGTTTGACGTTGAGGATCATTGGTGCTCTTTTCTTTGAGTAACCTCAGGTTCAAACACACCCATGGAAAGCAATTGACCAGGACGATGATGTGATCTATAGCATTCCGACCGTTCTGCCGGTCTACAAGTGGCTCCCAGGATCTCCGATGTCGCGAAACAGACCGAAGGACCACCGTGGAGCTTCTTGTAACTACTAGTACTGTAAGGCACTTGTTACTAGTAGCGATGCACTTGTTTCTAATAGCTTCTTGTAACTACTAGTAAGGCACTTGTTACCATCATGTCGGAACAGCTGTCGCCCATGATCTCCGACAAAGTCTCACTTCAGCCACTTCGTCGGTCGGGTGATGTTCATCCGCCACCGTCGGTACCATGCGTCCCGCCCGTTCTGCCGCGGAGGTCCGTGCGGGGGGGGGGGCTCGTTCCACGCGATGCGTCCGTTGAGGGACCGTCGGACGGAGCGCCCAAAAGCTTCGGAGCACCGGTAAAAAGGCCTCGAAGCGCACGTCTTCGGCATCCCCGAAGGCCATGGCATACCTCGGAGAGAGACAGAGAGAGAGAGAGAGAGCAGGGGACAACCAGGGATGTGACGGGTGGTTCGGGCAGTTAGCTGTGGGTGCAATGCCAGAAACCATGCCAATGTGAGTAAAATACATTCCATGTCTGGGATGGCTCGCCTGTTGGATCGTCGAATGCTCGCCTCATGGTATATCGAACGATCTCGAACGGATACTATGAAAGAGAGTTTCACATCAAAATCCTGCAAGCTCCCCACCCCCCGCCCTGCGATTTCAGCAGGCACTAGTGTTCAAGCGCTGCATTAGCAGCCCCAAATGAACGAAAGGACCGCCTATCGGAGTGGCACAAGAAAAGCCTTACATGTCCCAACACGGCTGCCCGGACGTCTCTCGGCCAGTTTCCGGCCGGGACGGGCGGGGAAGTTCACCAGATCGGTGACGGGATGTCACAACTTAAACACTTCCCATTTCACCGACCCACCAGACGGCTTGGGCGTCTCGGTGGCTGGCCATGCCTGTGACACCGTGGGCCGTCTCGGAAAAAACGTTCGTGAAAAGAGCGGTGAGTCTGAGTCGAATGACGGAGGAACAGTCAACCCACAGCTCACTATACTCGCTTATTTATATATTGATTGCATATGCTATAGTATGCTGCCTATTGTATATGTCCTTCAAGATGTTGAATCGTTCAACCTCCCATGCAAAATCTTGCAACACTTAAACGGAATAACTACAGCAAGCACCAATCCATTGTTAGTTGTCGAAACAAACAACATGAGATAGTAAGATACTGTTTTCTCAAGTTTCAATTTTCTCAGCAGGACATCTGAAATCCCTTTGCTTGTCACAACCAGGACATATCATTTGTTTATCAATGTTATTCTTTTCAGTCACCTCTATTCCATTCCCCGCCTGCACCAATTGACCTTGCTGCGGGCCCTCCTTCAACCACTCCACCACACGCAGATGTCCATTCGCCATTGCCGCATCCAGGGGAGTCCTATCAACTCTGGTTGCAACCGATCACGGCCATTCCAAGCTGTCAAAAGTCGCAACCACCTGATAGAGGAGGTCATCATCTACCCGCGGAGGATTGATAGCAGCTATGTCTTTCCAGTTGGAGGGAAGAGTTCTAAAGCCTGAGACTGAAAGATGCCGTTAAAGACTCTGTATGATCCCATAGGTAAAGGAATCCGCTGCCCAGTCCTGCCAAAGTTGTCAGCCTTGAACTTGTCGACGCCCGCCTGGAGATTGCATCAGATTAAGGGCCGCACTTGTTGATCCAAACCGATCGATTCAAGTACACCTGTTTGAACGTCAGGATCATTTCGGTACGTAGACCATCCATTGAGAGATGCTGAGTTTCTGAGGTGTCTGACCTTCGCATATGTTCGCGTACGTAGGTAGGCCATCGGTCTGGGAAAACGTCAAGAGCCACTGACCGAGCCCACCTGCAGGAGCAAGCGCACCAGCTCCAAACGCCCCAGACGCGCAGCCTTGGATACGTGGAGGCCGCTGGAATCCAAAGAAATAGAACACACGTCGGAATAAATGAGGATGCACATGTCTGAACATGCCCATCATGTCAACAGTGTGAAAACAGGAAAACAAGGTCCGCCTTTCGCAGCTTCCACGCTTTCTGTTCAAGAATTGTATGTATTGGCAATAGATGGAAAACGTCAGATAAGTCAGGTGCATCAAGATTTACATTGTGGGACTAAGGATGGAGAAAATCAGCTTTTGTTTGGGAGGGATAGCAATTTGAGTCACCCACCCACGGTAGAAAGATGTAGAAAGCATGTTTCAGCAGCCTTTCCAAGACATCCCTCGCGAATAGATTTGGACAGCACATGTTATGGGTCTGGGTCAAATCTAACACAGATGGCTCAAGACCCGTTTTTTGCACTCCTCGAGACAAGATTTCAGTACAGTATATCTTATAAGCCCAAAAAATCACAAGTGAACACCAGCAGATTGTTTGAACTTTCATCCGGATACAGCGTGACCCTCATCCAAAGGCTTGGTACTCAACGACGTTGGTCACGAACTCTCGGGCATCCTGAAGCTCAAATACGATACGAAGAACACCAACATCCAATATCTTGGCTCTCCTTTTTTTCATGGCTCTTGGGCCCGGCCACCGGTCGAACGATTTCTCCGTTTCGCCTTCGACGTCGTCACTCCGAAACCGGCCGCTTCCTCGCCTCCATGAGCGGCGTGCGGCCAAAGTGGTCGGCTTGGTTGCGATTGGCACCTCGCAGTGCTTCGCGGTGAATGTCGACGGGGGAGTGCTTGATTCATCAAAAACGGCTGATTGATTCATGTAAGCCAATTCTGGTAGGGGAATGTAGAGGAGGTGTTATTTATCAAATCAAGTCTATACATTAGGCAGTCCTCTGATATTGAAGCTTTGAAGCTTGACGGACTGAACATCACGTGACAGTTCGGGCTCTCTTAATACTTTGCAGTTCAAACCAACTGACGGAATCCGGCCGTTGGCATGGGCCTATGCCAACTGGCTTGGTTCGATTGTAGCACTAGCAGAAACGTTTGAAAGTGCTCATGATACAACATCGTATTTCACACACACACACACATTCCGCCCGACATCTGAGATTGAATCGCCCAACATAGTGCTGAACGGGCACAAATTCAGCCGATGGTGGTCGCCTCAACCCTACCACGCTTAGGGGATTTCTCGCTGAAATCTGACGACTGACGGGGGTGAGCGGTGAGCCAATAGAATCAAGAAAATTTGGACTGCGAAGGTCAACTTGGGAGGGTTGACATGGGTTGACCATCGATTCAGAGGTGTCATCCAGAAGATGTGTCTAAATTCAGGTCTGCACTGCATTCCTGCCGTGCGTGACGTCTTTCTTTATAGGTAAGGCTTTCAGTCCCCGACCTCAAGTACACGTGTGAGTTCTTGCCTGCATGTAGTATAGCATTCAAGATTGCTTTACACTTTACACCCACCGCCAAATCCGAAACCCCGTGAACCTCTCTGCGATCGATCGTGGACACACAAGTCCGAGTTCAGCCGCCCCAAACGGACACCCAAAACCCATGGCTGCCTGCTTCGATCAAATAGCGAACCACTGCGAAGTGGCCCCCACTGGTGGCAATGTGTAAGGGCGTTCGCCCATGCGGGTCCGCTTTGTGCTTATTGACCTCACAACATTGCCACGGAGGTGCAGGGGCGCAGCCAAATCGAGGCACAAGTTTCCTCACCAAGCCACCAAGCGGCACATAGTCCTGACCCTGAGATATTAAGTCAGACTGGCTGCTAGAATCAACTTCAATATAATATATTATTCAATTAGCAAACTGCCGCAAACTAATATCCTTCTGTTCCTGAAGCAGCATTTGGTTCTTGGGGGGCTTGCTGGTTGCTGAAATTTGGATTCAGCTGAAATAACCACTCCTGAAAGCCCATTGGCAATTCTTGCCCCGCCTCCTCGCTACAGTACGTTGCAAGTCGGCTACAAATGAGTGTGCACATGCAACATAAATCAAGGAACAAAGCGTCGACCTGTCAAAAACTTTCAAAAACACTCAATTCGATGCTGCACCCGTTTGACGTTGCTCAAAGCTTCTCCCTTTTTGGTTCCCACGCCCTTTCCATGAATTCCCGGCCCAGTCACACCACCTTCACAAAGGAGCCGAGTGATTGGCAAATGCCCCAGGAAGGCCGACAAGAAGAGGGCCGTCCTGATAAGGTGATCGAGCCGTTCGCCCTGTGTTCTGAGAGCCGAGCGTCTGCATTGGGTTGAACAGACCTTTAGACAAGGGGATCTGATGATGGCAGTGGCATGGCAGTGGCAGTGGCGCAAGGTCTCGCAACCTTCCAAAACCAAATGTAGAAATCAACGTGCCAACCTTTGCTTCTGCCCACATGTCACTTGTTGCTGGACCGTGTTTCCCATGACCATCAGCTTGGATCTCCTTATCCCTCATCTAACATGGTCCGGGGATGTAGAGGGGTGAGGGTGGTGCTGGCCTTGTCTTGACTTCCTTTTGCGGCACGTCATCTTTCTCTTTGCAGAAGTGAAACACTGCGTCCTTCCACACGAATCGGCCCTGTTCTTGTCCGCTGCTTGCAGTAGTAGGTCGACCACGTGCAAAGAGCCACTCCACACCGCCACATGCAATGGAGCCCTAGCCCGAGATCTGGTGGACTGGGGAAAAACACCGAAAACCGAGACTGATGTCATGTGAGCCATTCAGAAACCGACACAAAACACAGAAAACGAAAGCCATTACTGTAATTTCGATTGTGCAAACCAAAAATTCACTGGACCTTGTGCGGATGCTGAAGCTCACCGAGATTTCCCTAGGCAACATTCTTTCCTCATAGAAGCGTGGTTTTGGATACTAAGAAGAACATGGTTTCAAGCCCTACTACCCACAATATCTCATTCGCACGCAACCAAATGCAAACAGTTTCACAATGTCCCCAAAAATAGCTCTACCGAATTGATCTTCTGGCAAGAAACAACACCTGGCCTCCCTTGTTGGTCAAGCTGATCAGTGTGCGCTTTTGCCTCACAGCCGCACGCAGCTTCGTTTCTGCTGCATCCAAACTCCAATTGCTAACTACCAGGCAAATCGAAACATTCCAAACAATTCTCACCTTCTCAATATTCAGCTGCTCCAATAACACGACCGGAAAAAGGCCAGGCTGAATCACCCCAACGTCTCCCGCGGCGTCTGCTCGCCTGGCACAGCGTCTCGACCACGGCGCCCCAGCGGAGCCGCGCGGCTTCCATCAGCGGCGTGCGGCCCATGGAGTCGCGGCGGTTCCGGTCGCAGCCCGCCCTGCCGGTCTCGGCTCAAAACAGTCCGAAAAGCTGCCTTGGAAGACAGTAAATACGAAAGACTGTTGTCTTTAAAGTCCTTTTTTCCTAAAGAAATTGTACAGTAGCCTATTCAATTTGGTGTTTTCATGTGTTTTCGATGTTTAGTTGGTGGTTATGGGATCAAATCCCCTGACCATCTGCTACGCTGCATGAACTCCGAGATCCGCCAAGCTGCTGAATCAAAGATCGAACCACCTGTGCATGACCCCCCATGCAAGCAGCAAAGAGTGGGGTCCATCCTGCGCGGCAAGCCGCTTTACGCGAGCCAAGGGCTCCATGGCCGGGCCAACTTTAAATGAACCACCTTAACACCTTAAGCTACTAGGAACAGGTGCATCGCTTCTAGTAACAAGTGCCTTACTAGTAGTAACAAGAAGCTACTAGGAACAGGTCATCACGTGAGTGGACGGACGTGGTTCCTGCACAGACGGGGTGAATCGCATCTCACATTCCCACCGAGCGCCGAACTCGTGCCGTCTGGCAAGGCGTCTCGTCGCGCCGAACCGTTGGCTCCTTGCTGGTCCACGGAATCCCTGAAGGAGACCTGGACACAGGGCGAGCGAAGACCAGCGATGGTCACCCCCGAGACCAGCGATCGGATCTGGAGGTGGCAACGCTGGTATGATCATTGATGAAATGAAAGAAACGACCTGAAGGGTCCATGAATAGACACATTGAAGCTATATATGTATGGCTGGACATCTCAAACGAGCTCAAGCCAATACAATGTTCACGTCAAAAGAGGGTCAATAAGGCATCTCAGACCTCAGACAGACCATTAGACCATTGTTTCCCCCTAGTGTTTCCCTAAGATCTCCAAGAAGGAAAGGAGCACGATACTGTGCTCGCCCTCTTCCAGTTGAGGAAAACTTATCTATCTTATATATATATATATGGTGGGCCCCCCCTCCTGTACCTACCCTTTTTGTATTTTTACTGGTATGTGCATGATTTGTAGAGAAATATTACATACATTGTATATATATATATAACATATGCCAACAATATGCCAACAAGGGCTAAAAGTAGGTACAACGGGGGGTAACATATATATATATATATGTACGTCTTTCTCAGCCCGTCCTCACGTCCTGACCTCGCCTGGCTCAGGATCCGGACCAGTTGAATGTGACCCGCCCAGCAAACAGCATGCAAAGGAGTCCACCTCAGCTTCGCCCGGTGAACAGCCTCCAGAAATAGTTGAGTATATATATAATATACATATATATATATATATTTTAATAAATTCATGGTGTGTGCCTCAAGAAAGGGAGAAAGAGAAAAAGACCTGCACAGTCTTGTCCGAAACCTTCATCTTCATCTTCCCTTCATCAGCCAGGCCATGAAGAATCCAGTGCGGCTTTTTGGTGCAACTGTCCCCACTCGACATAGTCAGAAAATGGAGGTGGCTTCAAAATTCCCCTAACTAGCTAGCCCCCTAAGCTGCCGGTGGATTTCGGGGGCTAGCCCAGAAATGAGTAGCCCAGAGAATCTCTGAAGCTTCTGTGAACAATTCTATAGCTATGGCTATGGGACTTTTAGGAATAAGCCTGGAAGATTTTAGGTAATTAGTAATAGCTCTGAAAAGTTTGAAATAGCATGCAATAGCTCTGGCGGCTGTACAAAGAAAGTAAATCAAGAGCACCCAGCGGGTCCAACTTAGACTACTGAATTAAGATAAACTCCCATTGGGCAACCCAGGGTTCTGATTCAGAAAACTCCCTTTGCACTCCCAGAGCTATCTCAGATGGCCCCCCACCAGAGCATCCCATGTTTCACCGTTCGTCCGTTCGCAGGACTCGAACCCAACGCCAAGGCGGCCCAACGCATCACCCGCACCAATTCCTCGCCATGATTCCCCTCATGGTCGGCGATCTCGGCGGATGCACCGGCATCCAGCAGAGCTTTGGCCACCTGCACGTGACCCATCCTTGGCTGTGATGTCCTAGGAGACCTTCAACAGCAGGTCTGGTATAGCTTTAGGTCGCCAAATGCATTCGGCGGAGATGCTGCTTTTTGCAGACCCATTGCTACTGTATGAAACACGTGAATTAGAACTTGAGTAGTTGCTCCTAATGAAATGACCCAACATGAAACACATGGATTGGTTATGGTGTCCATGTGTGTGTGTGTGTGTGCGCATGTGTGTCCATTTTGTACAACAAACCGGCCTAGACGGCTCTTCATGCAGCTTGGAGACTGACATGCTATGTACAATGAGCTCTTGCCATCCGTGTCCCGGGCATCCACATCAGCTCCATTCTGGATCAGGTAACTCACCACTTGCCTGAAAAGAAAAGAGTCATCAGTCTTCGGCAGTCTTCAGTCTTCTGCTTGGTTCCCCCAAGGGCCACAAGGCGAAGATTAAGCAGCCCGCCCCAGAAATGGTCGTTCACGATGCAAAGTGTGGCAACCTCCTGCCAACACCTGACGCTGGCCATATCCCCCTTTGCTACCTAGGTTTCATCCGCAGGATCTATTCGCTTGGAGGCCATGGCAAGATCCTACCTTGCAAAGGTGAACCCTTTAGAAATTGAGACCCTAGTATGGCCTCCTGCAAGCGGGAATGGCTCATCCAACTCATTCTCTCGACTCACTCACGTCGCCTGTGACCATAACACGCAGCCTCGTAGAGGGCGGTGCGTCCTGCTCTACTGGCTACGGCGTATTCGGCATGCTCTCCATGGGGCGGGAGTTCAGCTTCCAAGAACGCTGAAGGAGTCTCTGTATCGCCATCACTACTATACTATGGGTATATTGACTGTTGTTTTTGACCTCAAGGACCGCCTTCATGTTCGCATTCTTGAGATGTGCAGTCGCTCCTTTCGATCATTCTTGGAACCTCTGAGCTCAGTGAGATTTCAAGAAAAGAAAACAAAAGAACTTGCATAACAACACTCCACAACCCGACCGCACTGTCAACCTTGTCTCGGTCTGCCAGTTTTTCGAACTGAAAGCCAGTGAAACCGAACCGATACCCCCTATAGCCAATGTCTCCTTGGTCATCTGTGCGGTGCTTATCCACTCCAGCTTCAAGTAAATGCTTGAGCAATCCTCAGCACATCCAAAGCTCGGTCCAGGAAGACAGACCCAACTCATCTGAGATCATCCAACTCATCTGAGTTTCCAAAGGTTTGCGAGCCAAGCACTGCCTCATGCAATGGCGTCCGACCATGGTGATCGACCAACTCCTGCGCCAACCGCCAACCGAAAAAGAAACATCTTTTTTTATGCCAAAACGAGTCGCCCGCACCAAAAGAGACCATGACCGTTGTGGGTGAAGCTCTTTTTGTTGAAGCAAGAAACCCTTCGAAGTCTACAGAGTTGATCAGTCATGTCTTCATGGTGTTCTCCTTCTTCCGGATCTTTTTGGCGACAAATATTGGTCTCCCAAGAGGCACAAAATCGTGAGTTGTACAAATGGTCGCGAACGGTCAACGTCGGCAAGGAACGGTCGACCTGTGTAGCTTCTTGTTACTACTAGTAAGGCACCTGTTACTACTAGTAAGGCACTTGTTTCTACTAGCTTCTCGTTACTACTAGTAAGGCACTTGTTACTAGTAGCGATGCACTTGTTTCTAGTAGCGAACCTTGTTACTCTCCCTTGGAAAGGAGTCGTATTTTTCCCAGAAATGAATCTATCGGGAGTAGACACTGAGATCTACTGAGTATACGGTCTACCTGCCATCATGGGCCAAGGGTGCATTTATTCTACCTTTTTGATGTTTCTGATTCAAGAATCATGTGACATGGTTGCAGCAAGTCATCCTCCTCAGCATCACCATCATCAACAAAAACAGCAACAATCCCCACAAAGGGGTATGGTCATGGTGATGTTGTTGACTGGACCACAAGCCCGGCACAAGCGCAGCACAACGAACACATGTACAGCTCCTGCCTGGTTCACCCTTTGCTCCAGGAGAACCTTTGCGACCTCCGTGCGCCCCGCAGCCACCGCTGACAACAGCGGGGTGCGGCCCTCTTCGTCCCGAGCGTCCTGAGGCGTTGAAGAGTGGGGCGGAGAAAGCTGAGAAAGCTTTCATCCCATCAGGCCCTACAAACCAGAAGAAATTTGATGCAAATACCCTACAAGAGCCTACAACAAACCTATATACAGTATACATTCCATATCATTCCATCAGGGCAAAGAAATCAGTTCAACATATCTTTCATGTGATATCATCCATCAGTGATAGACAAACCAATGAATGCTGATTATTGCTATGCATTAGGTAATTCATCCTCTTCTGATCTAAGGCTGTGCACCTCTGCCTTAGGGTTGAGGTCCTCCAATCCAAGCATGGAAGTAGTGCCTACCTCTCTCGTGAGGTTCTTTCCTTTGATCTCCTCGCTTCTTTTTGGTCGAGAATGTGCACCTTCTAGGGAGTCACAAATGTTCGCTTTGCAACAGGGCTTTTACAAAGTAGATTCCTATAATCACCCTACGCAAATCCTGCAAAAGCCACAACTGGTGTCCAAAATGATGGCAATCATGGGGCTCGTCACGATCTTTCTCTCGAACATGCATATTGGAACGTTGTGAGGGGGGGCAGTCGCGATGGGTGTTCTGAATTTCCCGTGGAATGCAGAAGGGCAAGCGTGTGATTCAAGCCTTTGGCCAACCCCCGAAACCTTCTTTCCAAACCCATCCCAACCCCTGCAACTTGGGGATATTGTAATCATTCTAATCATGAAACTCAACACTTGCCAAGCATCTTTGTCGCAGCCCGCTTCACAAAGGGCTCGAATCACCTGGATTCGAGGCGCTTTCTCGGACCCAAAGAGTGCCGAACAACCGAAACCAAGTCGCCTCTTAGCACACGGATTCGTTCAGGATCGCTAGATAGTCCGAACCAGTCTGGAAGTTGGCATCCGCCGAATCTGTGAAACAAATCGCCTAAAAGAGACGCCTGAGCCGGCAAAAAGGAATGAAAGAGGTGCTAAGATGTGGAAATGAAGTATATAAATCATCCGAATGAACAAATTCCCATTCCTTCCAACCCTTTCCCCATAATATTCGGCCTGAAAAATGTTCTAAATGTCTTTCTTGACTTTTATGTGTCTAGATCTTGAAGCTTTAATTGTTTCATATGCTGTTACTTAAATCCCATCTTGACAGTCTTGACTCATCATGTTTGCTAGAAAATGAGGAGCCCTCACTAGAAAATGAAGGGGAATAGAATCAAGAAAACACGGTGATGTCCAGAAAATGATCTCGGAAGCATGCCTATTTACCTGTGTGTCTCATATTCTAGTGGACTATATTTTCTCTAGAACATGCAACACCTGACCCCTTGCAGGTGAGTTTGCCACCTCTTGACTAAAGAATGCCCGTTTTCTACAGACGTCAACCCCTCCCATCTTCTAGTCCGAATATCATGAGGGATGGTGACCATCATATCAATCCAGTATCTGGTCTTTCGAAAGGGACAATGGCCAGACCAAGCATGGACGGCGCCCACCCCACGTCTCCGCGTCCCCTGCGTCTCGAGGCCCACCTCCGCGTGCCCTTCGGACGAGGCCAACACCAAGGCCGTTCTCGACTGCCTCGACGTCGAGGCGATCACCGGGTCTCACGCGGTGGTGGGAGACACGCAGTGTCTCCGTGGGTTTATGATGGTGGATGACATCCCAACGGAGAAGTGATAGGGCTAAGACTTCAATGGCACAAACACAAAGATTGAGGTAATGGGGTGTTGTTTCATCTATTTATAGTACAGTATAGAGACTTCCGACGTCCATCATCTTCAATCATCTTCAACATCTGGCTTATGCCGTGTGGTTCTTTGACTTTCTGCACGTCCTGGACCCCTGACTGAGAAAGATTGACGGATTCCAGCATGGGCGATGACTGGAAAGGACCAGGATGCGGGACCCCTTGCCGGCCCAATGGATATCACCGGAAATCAATACACAGCACCACGCAGCACTAGTGAGTTGATAGATAGATCATTTGTCAGGATGTTTCCAGAGATTCTTCCTGTGGGTGTCTTCCGGTGCGGCAGTTTTCTTGAAGTTTGTCCCACAAAGCAATCGAAGCCTGCTCAACTCCCTTGAAAGAGTATATGTTTGCGTATGCTGAAGATCGACGATCTCCTCCACACTGGGTGAGGCTCATCCTTTAAGTCTTCAGGCTGAGGTGAGGCTCATCGGTGTGTTTTCGGTGTAGCCATTCACCGAAAGCCCCACCCACCCAGCCAATCATCCACTACCTCAAGAGCAAGAGGCTTATCCTCCTCATTCATGCTGGCACCAGAAGACAGCAAACACTTCACCACCTGCACCCAGGAGAGCAGCTAATGGAGATGAGGATGTCGCCTCAAATCCAGACTTTGGGCCTGCCAACATTTAGTCTCTATAAAACTTGGTTGCCAAGACGCCGCTGAAAAAATGCGACCCCCCAATCAAGGTTGTACGAAAAGAAACTGCTGCAGCTGAAGAAAATGTAAGATAAACAACCTCAGACTCTTAGACCTTGTTGAAAGAAGGGGCTCCCGCAGCACCTGGCAGTCAGGGTCAGGCATCTCGTTCGTCTAGTTGTGGCTCCCTCAGCAAAGAAGCTCCGGCATCCCCAGGTCCGAGCCTCTATGTGGCCCAATTTGGCGGCAAACATCAGCGGGGTGGTTCCATGGCAGTCTTTATGCTCCACATTGGCTTGTGCCTGGGACCCAGGCGTGAAAGGCTAAAAGCACACGCGTTTGGTCGGACGCGCAGTGAGGGAGGTGTGTATGAAGCAAACTTCACAAGCTGAAGGAGAAAATCAAGAGTTGCTGCCCAAAAGGACATGAATCTTGTGAGATTTGTGGGGTCGAGAACGAAGTAGAACCATACAATTTTGAGTTAAGTTTGGTAGACTGGAAGAGCAAAAAGATCAACTTGTACTATAGGAAACACTTGGGGCGAGGAGAAGCTCACTGACATGACACATACAACCCAGTAGGCACTCCCTAGAGAACCAGTGCCTTCAGCAAAAGCTGGACCACCTTCAGGTGGCCCCTGCTGCTCGCCTCTGCGTGATGAAAAAGACTCGGAGAAGGGGAAACATTCTGGAAACCAAAAATTTGATACAATTAGAAGATACTCATCAGAGTGGAAACCTGTGGACACACTTTAACACATTGTCATACTAATACATGGCTGCGAATAAAGCAAAACAAATCAGACGGAGGAGGAACATCCACAGAACGGCTTGTCGATATGCTTCTCCTTTGAGTATCATACATTATGCTTCATGGACCACTTCATGGATTTGGTTGACTTACGGTTTGCTTTTCCCAGCAACTGCTTTGGAGTTTAGAACACAACTTCAGATAATTAATACATCATTGTACCATATTATACCCCTGTGTAGTGCAGGTGAGGCTGGATTTCTATAAACAAGATCCGTTCAAGATCCTGGGGAAATTTGACTTTGGACAATCGGAGGTCCACCTACAGGGCAAAAAGCAATCTGAATCTACCGATATGCCACGGGTATTATTCATAGATACATACATACACATCTGAGTTGTGCGCAAAGACGGCAACAGCTCTAATCTCCCACATCTGATTCTTGTCCACAAAAAAATTAATGCAAAGATATGCAGAGACTGTGGTCGCCTCTTTCAGACTCTCAGGGCGGCTCGACACGGGCCCGGACCAAACGGCTTGCTTAAAGCGACCTCCACAGACTCTCGAGTCGCGCGCGCGGGGTTTGCCGAGCCGGGCGGTGGCCGCGCCTTGCACAAGGGCGAGACACCCGAAGAATCGCTGCAGTTGGGGTCCGCTGGCTGGGCCAGGAGGTTCCGGGCCGTCGTCAGGTCGCCTGGCGAAAAGAGACGGCCGTCTCGTTTGGGGAAGGTCTCGGTTTTGGGGGGGAAGGACTAAAGAAAAAACAACGAGAGATTCCAAACTTGGAAGGATCATGAAGGATCTATACGGGATCTACAAGACCAATCACCACGACATCGATCCCGCCTTTGTCTGCTGCATGCAAAAGCTGTTGTTCCGATCCTTGACCACAAGGTAGAATCACTACCTCGCAGACAGCAGGTCAAAAAACCGGAATCTTCGGTCGAAAAGACATCGTGACATCACGGTGTTCGATGAGCCGTTTCTGAGCCGTTCGTGCGATCCGCGGGTCATCCGCGGGTCTACAAAACATGGACTGTCCACACTCTGTCAGACTGCGGTCCCTGCCTTCGTCCCTGATGCCACGAACGACCTGTAAAATTGACCCAGACCTTTCAGGCCCCGCCTGCAGCTCTTCAGGCTGTCCCAGCTGCTCCCAGGAGCTTCCATCCTGAGCTGCTCACCCATGATCTTCAGTGAAACTGGTGGTCAGCTGGGCATGAGCTCATTCTGATTCTCTCTAGGTTCTCTCTAAGAAAAGGAGAAATGGTGAGGCATGGAGACGACAACGGTGTGATTGCTTTGGTCATCTGCACCCAGGCGGAGTTCCAGTGGACAAGTCAGACTTGCATCCCAAGAAAAGAGTTGAATCTGGTCTGGTGATAATGATCCCAGACCTACACTGATGTCTCTACTGTACAAACCCTGTGAAAAAAACAAACTCATACGTCTCTACAATCTGCTGTTGCTGTACAAAAGCAAAGAACAAACTCCCTAGGCGCTCTGTGTCTTTTTCAGCCAGACCAGCCGATATGAAGATCAAACAGCAATCATCCGAAGCTCTACAGCATTTAAATCTGAAGCGATGTGACCAGAAGATGTGACCCAGAAATTTCTGGACGATAGAATCAGCCTCGAAACTTTGCTGCGAAACTTCGAGCGCGCTGGCGAAGCGGTGTTTTCAGGTCCGGTTTTGTTGAGAACGCATGACTAACCCAGAACAGCGCGAGAGGCAGCAGCAGCAGTAGCAAACCCATGGTTACGAAGACAAGAGAGCCATCAATTGTGAAGTGTCGGTCTGCAGGTTACATTATGTTACATTATTCCATATTCTTCCCAAATCTCACCCATGTTCCTTCCAACACTCACAGTCTGTGCAGGTCCCCAGTGTGTGAAAAAAGATGTCGTCTTCCAAGGCGTGGTTGTGCACTTCCATAGTTTTTGAAAAGCATGAAGAAGGGTCTACCCTCCATCCTCCCATGTGAACCCCGACCATGAAGAGTATCTGGGATCACACTATCGCTGCCGCTTTGAAGTAATCGCAGTCGAAAGCTTGGGATGCTCATCCTCGGCACTTCGGTCAAAGCCGAAGAGAAGCTGAAAGACGGGTTGTAGCAACTGTGTTTCGAAGCAACACACAGCTACGCATGGCTGCAGGTTCTTATCTACATCAACTTCGCATCCTTGGATAACTTGTTTTGCGAAGTCTATGGGTCCGAATTGAATGAACATCAATGGGCATTTGTCGGAAATTTGAATATCTTTGAACTTCCCACAGGGTGTCCAGAAGCCGCTTGAATTTATATGCCTCGTATGAATTCCAGCAATATAGTGCATGACATGTTGACAGTGTAAACGATGCAAGTCCTGTCAGAAGCATCACAAGCATCATCAAACATCCAAGGCATTCCATGGTGCTGTAGCCTCTCTTGGGCCATTTGAGATCTTTCGAGGCACATCGTCAGGACTCCAGGACAGAAACTGCTCTACCACCGGTCGTTGTGGTTAGCTTTTCGCACCGGACCAAGCCACCGATCTTGCAAGTCTTCTTTGACCGCATGGCCTGGGGAGTTCCGTCGGGTCCTTCAGACCTTCAGGCCCCATCTTAACAGTCCGGCGAGTGACGAAAGGCGCCAGGTTGAAAGAGATTGGAACCCTGAACCCATTGGAACCCGCCAGGTTTCAGTCCACTTCACCTGTCCAGAGTCCCAGCCTAGGTTCTTCCTAGGCTGAAGAGGGTCTCGGTGAATGCCATAGGAATGAGTTGAGGATTTCAATGAAACATTTACATGATAGACTCGGATAGACCTTTTGGTGGGAAGTCTCTGAAAAATTTCAGCCCGTATAGTCACCAGGCTAAAAAACTGGAAGCCATCACCCTGAGAAAAGGAAGCAATCCATCGAATCAATGCAGGCCCACTTGTGTAACAAAAGGAAACTATTGAAGCTGGATGACGTAATCCACAGACCACAAATGATAATGATCTGAGAAGCATCAATCATGTTATTTCCAGGTCTTCAAGATCCCCTACACTCCATCCCGACTCTTCGACACATGGGTCATCCCCACGTCGTCCTAACGCCGCCCGTCCGGAAGCTCCGGCCACTCCAGTTCCGCCGAGTGGCCGAAGCCTTTGGAGGTCTCGAGCTGTTCCAGGTGTACCGTTGCGAGTCGCTCGCCACTCACCGACACCAGGCGGAGCATGGCACATGGAGGTCAGTGAGCGCTTTCGGAAAGGGATTCGGGACCCAGTGAAGAGACAGAAAAGCGAAAATCCGCTGGCGTCACCGTGGAGTCGCCCAAAAGGTGGCCATGACTCATGGAGGAGCATGACTCATTGAGGAAAGGAGTCTCTCACTTAGAAAGACCAGGGTTTGCATGCTCACATTCTTGCGTCGATGCATTTTGGGCGTCTGTCAAACCCGCCGGGGAATGTCCCCCCAAAAGATAGCATGAGCTGACCGTCACCGGGTGAGACATGGGAGGTGGGGAAGTCTTGTTAGAAGTTTCTTGGCTGGTCGTGTGAGCCATGTGTTCTGGAACTTCTCTGCGAAAACGGCTAAAGAGGCCGTTCCTGCGATCTGGGACAAAGGTTCGTTTTCCCAGTTCCAAGAGCTGAATGGATCACAAGGGCTCCTAATCTCAGACTCCGATCAAGTAAGTAGGACAGAACAAAAACAACTAGGGCATTCTTCTGCCTGTTAAAGTCAAGGACGATCAAGTCTTCGCCTTCACCTTGAGACTGCTTTGGGATCCACCCAAAGCAAACCTCATCCCACTTGGCATCCGGGCTCGATCTCTTTGAATCTCTCTTCCTTACCTCGTGACATTGGCTGAAAGGCATCTCCCGGTTCAGAACTTCCAAGGCATCTCCCAGTTCAGCCAAACCTTTGGTGAATCCTCCCACTTTCAGAAAGGTCTTTTGCCTTGAGGTGCTTGGATCCCTTGACTCACAGAATGACCATGGAAGCCTCACCGGTCTCTTCCCCTCACCCCCTCGGTGACGTGGGCATGCAACTGGGGCCAGACACGCCGGTGTGAACCAAAAAACCTCCAACTGATCTTTTCAGATGGCAGGGCTGGAAACACACACCCTTCCAGGCCCTTCCACCTCGGTCTATGGTGAAACACGACAGGTCACTGAAGTCCTTGCCGATGGAAACGTCTCGTGCTGTAGTCGATGTCGCCGTAGTCGGTGTCACCAGGTTGGCCGTGGGCGTTTTCCCATGTTTTCCCCTAGTGAAGTACGGGATCTCGTCCATCAACCTGCTAGACCAACGTCTAAACTGGCTGTCCAAAAGGCGATGGCCGCAGCCATGTTGATCAGTCGTGAAAGCGGCACCGACATGTGTGGCCCTTTGCTTTGCGGAATCTTCACACCTCCCCAGAAGCGACAAATCATCCAGGAGTCGACTTCTTCGTTTTTTTTCCACGTCCCAGCCGCTGAACCCAAACAGGCAAAACGGGAACCCGTCGACGGTCCAGCCGCTGGTCAGAAAACCTGCTGTTAGCGGATGTTCGACCACCAAGCCACTGCTGGTCAACATCTTGGGCTTCTCTTCCGGTCGCCTTGGACGACTGGTGGGGACCGGTCGCGTTCGGGTCGACTGGTCGACTTGGTCGACTGGGTGTAGATGCCAAAAACACAGCAGGTCTGCTCCCAACCCCGGAAATTGGCTTGGGGGTGAACACAATGAAAGACGAGTTGACCGAAATGTATGACTATCAGACTATCAAATACGGTAAGGAAGAACACGTAAAAGAATTGTCTGTTCCGTGGCTAGACGCAGCTACAGCCATGTGAAATATAGTGTGTATAGTATATATATATGTGTGTGTGTGTGTGCCTGAAAGAATTCTCAAATGATACAATGTGGTATCATGTGTTATCATATTTTATCAAAGAGAGCTGGTGCTGTGAAGATTCTGTCAAGATTCTAGGATGGTTTCTTCGGATTTCATCGCCTTGCAATTTCAGCCAATTGTTGGTCCTGGGTACCAGAAATGCGCTCTTTTCTCTGCCTATTTCCCAAACGAAATGATGTGTCAGCTCTCATGCTCCCCATGCGCAACTTGTTTAATGCATCAGGTGCGTCTTTTGATCAACGGCCATGAATTACAAAAGAGTCCTTGTTGCTCCTTATGTCAGTATGTCAGTCATGCCTGTATCACACCTTTTCAACACAAGAGCAGACAGCTCTCATATCTCAGATGCCTAAGTCACGTGTTTGCTTCTGTCCAAGTGTACTTGTGGAACCAAAGAGACCGCCGACCGCACCCAGTTCTTATGTGACCAGATACATGTGGGCCATTTCTTCCTTTCCGGAAGATTTCTTTCAGCTCTCATGTCTAGGGAGCTTGGATCATATGGGTTCTACAGAGTCCATCTCGATTATAAACCCCAGGTGGTGAAACTTGTGTCGACTGTTCCCAAGAGAAAGACACTTGCATCTCACCCGACTGATGTCTTGGCAAAGTTGCCTATTTGACTCCACGTCTCTCCTAGGCCCTAGGCCTGAACCGTCGTCAGTGTAGGCATGAGATATCTGAGATATCAATAATCAATGTTCACTAATGAATGGCATACCATGATTCAATGGCATTGATAACTGACTGACACATCATCATAGTAGACTCTTTGCAGCGTCCCCTCGTCCTCCGTCCTCGTCGCCATGGGGCTCCGGACACCAGAACGGGACCCCAACTCTCGCGGGTCGGCCGCTCCTCCGCCTGGTCGAGACACGCGGCTTTCGTTCGACGGTCCACGGAGACTTGGCTCTGAAAGCTGAGATGGCTCTGAGGCTTGGCTCATGATTTGAGACATCCAATCTATACATATACAATCATATACATCCAATATCATCATTTCTGTGTGTGTGTGTTATTTGTTCATGACTGTTTTGAGATGCTCTTGAATTGTTTGGATCTTAGATAATCTTAGAGATGTCAATGATGCAATTGATGCTGCACGCATCAGCGGCATTAATTACTTGTATTACATAACAATGGTAAGGCCTACCCAAGACAAGTTGAGACCCTCGATCACTTCGTGGGCTTGATTTGAGATGTTTCCTTTATTTTTTGTGAATGAAGCCTTGAGCAAGCCTCTGGCATCAGGAGCCAGTAGTAGTTTCGAGTTGGACCTTCGATGGAAAAGGTTTTCATGCACATCTGTTGATAAAGACTCTGCATGAGTCCAACCCCGCGCCACTCCCTGCGCCTTATCGACGGGCAGCTTCAAGCTGGGATCCTGGGCGTCGCCGAATCGCTCCGACCGAGTTTAACACCGAGTTTAACTGAAAGGAACTGGAAGATGGACAGAGATTCCTTATGTTCAAATAAGAAGAAAATCACCAAATCCATTTGCAGATGGCACACAATCCCCAAGTTTGGTCGTTGGATCCCCATCTAGAAGACATGAAGCTTTGGGGTATCATCTGTATTTCACTATTAGTCCATTGAACGACGCTTCGGGGTGAGGTTGGACGTGGCCGATGCATTCGTTCTCCGAGCCACAAAATCTCGAGTTCTCGATCGATGAACAGAACAGGACCACACCCATGGTGTTCGTGGTGCTCTTGATCCAGCTAATAGGCAGACAGAATCTGACAGAACATTACAAAAAGGACTGTGTCTTGTGCCGAATTGAATCAATCCCCACAACATCCCACAACAGGCCGTCGAAGCGGTGATCGCAATTTCCAGCGAGGCAAAGGACATGGGAACTTCCATCAGGAACACAACAGGGTGCGCAACCGGTCACCTGAAGTGATCATCTTCACTTCTCGAGTAAACACCGGACAACCGGCCAATTTCTCAGGTTATGGCTGAACTGATGGGTCTTCCTCCTCGACTCTCTCGACTCCAAAGAATGTTTGGAGGGGGGGCACTTGAAAATCGCCGAGGGATGGGTCAACTCGCTGGGAGAGCCGCCTGGGCCCCCCTGCCAGAGGGCCAGTTGAGAGTCCACCTTCGTTCCCATCCAGGGATGAGGGAGGTGAACTGTGAAGGGAGTGTGGCTCGCACAAACTCAAATTAGCATTTAGTTTAGTCTCCAGGCTAAAGATTACTACCGGTACCCACTACTAAAGTCCTCATCCAAGATCTGGGCCCAAACAAGTCGTTGACAGAGGGCTGGAAGGGAAAAACATCATCCAAAAGGCGAGAACAATACGATTTTCATTTGGCAAAAGGTTTGTCAGTTCAAGTCTGGCAATCTCCTATCCATCACCAGTCAAACGGATTGAATGAGTAAAGCTATGCAAAAGTCACAGCCTCACAGCCTCAGGACCCCATGGCATACCATCTCCCACATCTCCGTCAGTTGTATGTCTTTCTTGTTCACTGCTTTCTGCTGCCTCGATGATAAAAGCGGCGCCCAAACTTGTCGATCTGCATGAGGTAGTAGACCTGCGGCAGAAGAGTTCGGAGGGAACTTGACCCAAACCAAGACCGTGGGGCTCCTGAAAAAAATAAATAAACAACTTTTTGCCTGGAGAAACATCGCCACATCACCTTCCTCATCAAAGCCATGGGCGGAAAAAGAAACACTTGAACTCATCGTGTGTTTCCCAGAATCTCCAAAAGTTACACGCTCTAACGCTGCTGGGGTGAAAACATATTTTCGGGGCTCCGGACATCTTCCTCATACTTCCACAAAGAGATCTTGCACGTCCTGAAAGCGATGCCGAGCGGCTTTTTGAGGCCGAACAACCTCGCTGGATTGGCCTTGTGGTTTAGGAAGGTCTTCAAATTCACACATTCCGCTGCTGCCACTGCATTTCGCTGCCCCACACAGACCCACCCGGATTACGCGCGCCCTTGGTATTCTTTGGCGTGAGCAAACCCCATGGTGTCCTTCGACCCTGTGGGAAGTAGTCGAACTTCATCCACGTCCTGGGAGGAGCTGCGCCCGGAACGTGGAGGTCGAGCGGAATGCTCGGTGGTGGTCAATAGAACTCTGGGGGCCTAGCCTATCATAGACGCCCTAGGCTACTCTATCCATAGGCCTATCTTCTGTATGAATCATTAAGATCCAAAAATGCTGTGCAATCCGTCCTACCGTCCCCAAGGAATGTTCCATTCTTAAGCAGTGAGCAAAAATGAATGGCACGACAGGTGTTCGGTGTTTGTTGGCACCTGTTCGTTGATAGGCATGTCTTTGCATCGCCACCCCTGGGTTCGTCACTGCACATAGTAGTGGTGCAATGGGACCGACTCCTCTGGGGTGACCTGGCCGACGTGAACACAGAGACACCGACAGATCGATCGGTCAGGAAACCTCTATATCTTGTTTATGCGTGTATACTTATGTATGTAAGTATGTGTTTGTATATATATTATATATATGGTGGTTGTTCAATATTCCTTTCATTTTTCCAGGCCTTTTGCAGGACCTTCGCATATACTATATGATTTATATGTATATATATACACTCAGCCGCGGAAGTCACGGCATACTAGGAAAAAACTTGTGTTCCCCAATGTAAACGCGACGCCACCGGCATAGTCCTTGCAAAAACGTTGTTCCGCATGTAAACGCGATGATTTGTGAATGTTTTTGGCGCGTTCTCCCCAACATAGTTCTCATGTATTCAAAAACAATGTTCCTGCATGTAAACGCAATCATTTAGAAATGTCATTTAGCCATGTTGTGCGAAAACGGGGTTCCCGCATGTAAACGCGATGATTTGGCAAGGTTTTTGATGTCTTCTGAAGTTCCATCCGAAGCACAATTTTCATGCATTCACAACAAGCTTCTGGCATGGAAACGCAATCATTTAGCAATGATGTTAATCTCCTTGTGGTCCCTTGACATCTCTTTGGACCAGGCTCTGGACACTTTACTTGAGTCACACAAGTTGCAGAGAGGTATCGGAACGAGGATGAACGAGAGGGTGAACGAGGTCAGAGCCCGTGCCACCAAGGAAAGCCCTCAGAATGAAAACCTCTAGGTAACCTCATCATGTATATGCTCTCGCCCCTGTCCTTCTTTCTTTTCTTCCTTCCTTCTTCTTGTCTCCCCGCTTGTCTGCTGTGATCGGCGTTTTGTCTGCCACTGCTGCCTTGCTCTCGTTACTTGTTTCCCCACCTGCCTCCCCACTCGTTTGCCTGTGCGATCGGCGTTTTGCTTGCATCGCCACGACTTCCATAGATTCAAACCCCCAAGTAAACGCTTCAAAAATTGAATGTCGCCACGACTTCAACATTTGAGAGTACTGTCTATATGATTCTATATGTGCCAGGCAAACAGGAAACAAACAAAAACACATATTTTCGAAAGAAAAAACACATATGTGTGTTTTCGCGGTTGTGAAGGACGAGGGAAAGAAAAGAACACTCGGACTAAGAAAACAAAACCCGGACACGGACAAGAATCCTGACATGTGCGCGCGGCCATTTTTGTCCAAGCGTGGGCAATGCAGCGCGCGCGTGCTTCCGTCATCCTGGCTTGTTCGCGGGGGAATGCACTAGCGCAGCCATGTTTGACGCAGCCATCTTAGATGCTGAATGCAAAAAATGCAGCCACGTTTGCTCCAGTCTGGGCGCTGCGCTGTTGCCGCTCAGAACCGTCCAGATGCTGTGGAAAGCACCTGCGACGGGGGTCTTTGCCCGGCCCTGAAGCCGATGATGGAGAAGATGTGCGGCCAATTTCATGCTGTTCCTCAAATTGAATCTTTGCAGACTGAGTTGCAAGCGCTCCTCCGCAAAAGTGATCAGTGACCAAGCGTGGTCATAGCGGTACTTGTACGGTCTCTTGAAAAAGTACCTGTACAACAAGACGCGTTTGCTTCGATCAGTTCGAGGGCGCTTGTACTGGTGACATGGAGAACTGGCGGAAGGCCTGGAACGCTTGCTTGTCTTTTGTTCTGGCAGCTTGCGCATGGCCCTCTGCAGTTGGAGACCAAGAAGTCTTCTCGGCCGCAGCGTAGAGGACTGGTGGTGTGTGTGTGTGTGTCCGTGTGTGGCGCGATGTTCGGCTTGTGTGTGTGAAGCTTCTGCCCTGGTCTCCTTCGGGGTGGTGGTTAACCCCCCGGCGTGGAGTGAGCCTGGTCTCCTGGGGTTGGTGGTGATCCACCCGCCGTAGCTGTTTCTTTATTGCCATTCTCATGGTTGTGATCCACCCGCCCTGTTACTTGTCGTGTTTCTGTAAAAGAGCAGCAGTATTGCTTCGTACAGCGCCCAAGGGACCGGCAGCGCAAGTTGCAGAGCATCCCAAGCAATCTTAGATGATGATGCAGCCAACTGCTTTGCGCGGAAGGACCTCATCTTGCAGCGTTTAGCTCGCGCTGGAGCTGCTCATTCTGCCCCTTGCTTGCAAATGCGAACTTGGGCACCTATGTGACATTGTGTGACTTGATACTTGGATGGCGAATCCCAGGCGAGAGATGGCGTTGTCGCCTTGAAAGATGCTGCGTTGAAAGTGTCGATGAAAATTTCATACATGAGCCTGGGCCAAGCCAAACAACACCCAATGACTCTGACGTGATCTCTCATGTCCCTCCCGAGCACCTCTCGAGCAGCGTTCCAATCAAAATCCATGGCGATGACGGGCGGAGCCTCTTGGCAACTGTTATGATTTCTGCGATTCAATGTGTTTTGTGTGTGGGGACCAGGCAAGAAGAAGATGCCCATCATGCTGCTGAACTTTCAGCCCATCTTGGTTGCTGGCACAAGCTAGTCAGTATTGCGGAGCAAGCAAGTGCAAGCAGAGAGCATGAAGCTCAACATGCTGGGAAACCCAGAAACCACAAGGTTCCTCTGCCTCGCTGCCCTCAAGGAGACTTATGAAGAGGATGGCGCGGTCCTCCCCGATGCCATGAAAATCCTGGTGGAAGACTTGCATCGGGCCCTTACAAAAGGCATGGACCTACCAGGTGGCCGCAAGCTGCGCTTGGCATGCACTGTCAAAGGAGACTGGCAATTTTCAATAGCTGCCGCCGATCTCAATCGTCATTTCAGGCGTGCGCCCAAATCTGGGCATACTGAAGGTGGACATTGGATTTGCCATTGGTGCCTGGCTGGGCAAAAAAATATCCTTTCAGCGACTGTGGAACAAACCCGCGATGGGCCCGCACAGAAGGCAGCGCGGTGGCTTCTGCTCCATGGGGTTCGTGCAGCCTTTTACGTCTGGCATAATTGGCATCTCGGCCACGGCCGGTATTTCTTGTCTTCAGCGTTCATCGTAGTCCGCAGCCTTTGGAACGAAGAATCTGTGCATGATGGCTTTGCTGCCATGACGTGTTCACGGAGAGCTTTTTGCCGCCTCAAGAAAGTCAAGCCACCTTTGAGCAGACTGACAAAGGACCTCTGTGGCTACACGGCGTTTCTGGATTGGCCTGAGGGAGGTTGGCAGAAGAGGTCAACGACAACTTTGCTGTGCGACGCTTGTTGTTTTAACTCGTATCCGTGCAGTTGCTTTTGCTGCAGCCTGATCGTGCAGAGCGGTGCTGCTTGACAGGCGCGTTGCCTTGATCTTGCTTGTGGCAAAAAGCATGAACTCTTGCATGCGCAAACTGTATGGGGCTGGCGCTGGCTCCGTGATGAAGAAGCTGCTGGCATTGCTGCTGATGGGCTGTGATCTTGCAGAGGCTACAGGGCATTGGCGCCAGAATCTCTTGATTGTGGTGAGCCCCGCTTCCCTTTGCATTCGGAACCCACATGCTTGTGCACACCTTCCGCAACATGCAGCTGAATGCAAACAAGTTGACCTGGCACGAGTCGCCGATGTGTGACAACTGCCAGATGGATGAGGGCTTTGTGGGGCAACTTGCCCGATACAGCCGACGGGTTTCACCAAGGTCAACCATCCACAGGATGTTGGATATATACTTGACATCTCTATGGCGCTTGTGGCGGACTTGACCACAGTGAGCCTAATGGAAAAAAACGTGCAGGAGGGCCAGGGTCGCATCGGGATTCTTTTGCAAAGACCTGACTGGTAACATGCCATGGTACAAACTAGACAAGCACTCTTTACCAGGGGCAATTTTACATGTCTATGTCACGAACCAGTGTAGTCTAGTGTAACTAGGGCCAGACCTTAAAATGCTCTTCCAAGGTTACATGCATTGGGTAGAGGTCAGACACCACCTACTAATAGAAAACAGTGAAAAGAAAGAAAGAAAAACCGGACCAAGAAAAGAAACATCGGACGGACCAAGAAAGGAAAACCCGGACTAACCCGGAGAAAGACAACTTTGTCCAGAAAAGATTTCTTTTATATAGTCAAAAAGATTTATTGTAGTGGTTTTCGGGTTTGACTGGTACGGTATATAAATACAAAATAGACGCTTCTTCACAGAGCACCACGCCTGCACATGTACGTGTACATGTGCATTCGCATGTACGTGTGCATGCCTTCGCTTCTACGAGGTCCCAACTTGCAGTAAAGCCTACAACGCTGTGGCCTTCTTCGCACCAAAGCTTGGTGTTTCTCAGGGACCAGTCTTGTTATGGCTCCCTGGCCCGCCGCACTTTTGAGGTCCTCACCTTGATGGCGTTGCGATAGAACTGTAGCTTCCAGATTTCCAAGGGGTCGAAGAAAGGAACATCGTCCACCTCACGCCAATTGTCCACACGACATTGGCTTGCAGCTGACAAGCCAAGCACGACATCAGCAACAACAACATCAGCATGAAGAAGAATGCCCAAGAAAGCTCGTGTCTAATCGGGCTTGTCTGAGCATCTGAGCCATTTCTTTTACGCGTCACGCTTCTTCACGTGGGAAGCTGTGTGCTGTGGGATGTCGTGGCATGTCGATGGGGTCAGTCATCAACTTTCTTGGAAAGCTGTCTGCAAAGGGGCCTGTCAAGGAGCTTCTAAATCATGAACCCAATTGGAGGCAGGGAGAACATCTGATCAGTCAACAAAAGAAAAGGAAGTTCGAAGGCCTTTCTCGTTTCAGAACCACACCTGCTTGGAGCAAACCGAAACCATCTGAGCACAGCTCGGACACCTCCCAGACTGCGGCCCGGCCCTTCCAGGAGCCCCACGCGCATCTGGTACATGCTCGCCTGCGCAATCGCACCCAAGGTGGAGGTCTGTGGTATCTGTGGGTCGGTGTCGTAACCGCTTTCCATCGATCATGTGTCTTCTCACTCCGTCAGCTGTCGGTGTCGGTGTCGGGTGAACTCGCATCATCCATGACAGCCGTTTCTGAGGGAAACGTCGCCTCTAACGCTCAGTTGCTGGGGTCCCGGGCTGCACAACCAGAGCCATACGTGAAAACGAGGATGATTTTCCCTAAGGCCTGCAACGCTGGCCAGACCGGCAAGAGTGGGATGATCGAAATCCACCTCAAGGAGTCTGATCATCATACAAGGGTGGATTGGTTGCATCGTCAGCCTTTAAGGATAGGTGGTGTATGGACAGCTTTAGAAAACAAAATGAACACATTTCAGTAGGTGAATGGATCAAACATGAGACAGAACACCAAAGAGACAATCAACTGGGAAAAATAAAATGTCTAAGAGGTTCCGATTAAGCCACATGTCTGTTGCCCTTTGACTTGCTGAATCCACAACCTTTACCATTAAATATTACCCCCACAACTACGCACTGCATGAAACCATCATGGGCCAACGTGGGCCATCCACGGGCCATCCACTTAGAGTGACCATAAAATCCGACTACCAAACAGCTGGTGAACTCCGCTTCGATTCATTCAGGCCCAGTCCATCACCTTCTGAATCGCGCAAGCGCAGGACGACGATCGGCCACACAAGCACATGGGATGACTTGAGACAGGACATGGGATGACAAGGAATAGCAACCACCAAAGCCGTAGCTGTCTCGCGAACCTCACGGCCTTTAGGATCCTCACACGGCGTCCTGCCTTCGTGTACAACGATCGAACGAGCTGCCATGTTCGAGGGATCGGAAAAGCCCCGACTTGCCGGACGGTTCCTGCTCCATCTTGTTCATGATGACAGAAGAAGTGTTCAGGAATGACCTCAAGCACGAAACACAGAACTGTTCCCCGACACAAGGGTATTTTCAAGGAGTTGGCACACAGCTCCAGCTAGTGAGTGCTGTGCCCCTTCATCCCAAAAATCAATAGAATCTTGATAAACAAACCCCATACGGCGAGGTTTTACAGTACCATGGATGTCTGCGGGGGGGTGATTAATCCAGACTATGCAGAGAGGGGGAAAAAAGAGGCACAAGTAATTGAATCCGGTCAGTGCTGCTATACCCAGCAACAACGAAACGGTTTCGGCCACAAGAGCTATGGTTCGATTGGTTACCGTGAAGGGTAAAATGATGCACTTCATGTTCGCATCCAAAAAGAAACTGGAGGACATCACATTCATGAAAAGGAAGGTTGAATTCATGAGTGGGCAAACAACGAGGAGACGCTGGAATCGAGAAGTGTTGCCGCGTAAAAGGATCAACTTATCAACGCACCAGGTTTTTTACAAGCGAGGTTCGGGAAGTTCTGTTCTCACGCACCTGTTTGTACATGACTGCTTGTTACATCTCTTTAGAGGGCATGGATGCTCGGTAACCTCATAATTGCCCATTCTGTTTGGTGGTAACCTATCCAATCAAATGTGTACATGGACAGCAACTTGAAGTAAATATGCAGCTTAATACTGTATGCATGATATAATTAGTGTGTATACATACATATATATATATATATTTGTTCATTGTGTTCAACTAAATATAGTATCATAGTGTGCGTTTGAACAGAAAGGACAGACCTGAGAGAGGTGCCAACATCCTGCTCTCCCCTGCCTCCCGCTCTCATGGTTTGGATGTAAGCCAAAGGTGGGGAGCAAAACTGCCCTTTCAACTTTCCTGACTCATCTGGGATAAGGAATCGCGCTTGACATTTCGGCATATCTTCCTGGAAACGGTGTGATGGTTCAATGTGGTTTCCATACCTGGATCTTCCAACTTCCTCACTTGGCTGGTTTGTATAGATGATTAAGGCAGAAATCTTGTGCGGTTAGAAGATCAAGGTATGAGAACCACGATCATTCCAACAAGAATCGAACCTGCCCACCTCTTGGCACCCGAAAAACCATCGGAGGCCGGCCTAAAGAGCATGCAAAGAGGAGCAAAACATTTGCTGAGCTTTCCAACGAGACGGTGTGGCAGGGTCCGATGATCTTCAACAAACTCACCTGGGCGAAGTAGGAGCAAGGACGCTACGAACGGGGCTCCTGGCATCGCGACTCGAACGGAACAGTCGGACGCGTTCAAATCAGGGCGCTCGTCGTCGACCACGCGTACGCCGCGGCTTCGTCGTTGGCTTCACCGATCTGGTGGACCCAAACCCCCGAACCACCCCGAACCACCCCAACGGCGAGTGCTTGTAGGCCGTGAAAGGGGGGGAACAAGGTGAAAGCAAGCCGAACACAAATCCAGAAAACAAAAAGCGAGGTGTTTGACTTGCTGCACATGCATGAAACGACGGCACGACCAAACATGTTCATTGGACACCGACGGCACGGTCCACGAACCGGTCGCCGCGCGTTCGTCTCGGACGGCTGAAACCGCTTTCTTCCGCGGGTCAGTTCCTGTGACGATCAGCGCTGGCGGAGGCCTCCAACAGTGGAGCTCCAAGCCACCTTCCGAAGGTTTCTGAAGCTCCGGGTCGCAGCTGGGTACAGATTCAGGGCCCATCTGGGCTCGATTGATGAAAATGCTCTGCAGGTCACATCACGAAAGAAAGCCGTGTTTGGCAAACACTGAGGGGCCAGGGGCAGCCGATAGCCCAAAGGGCCAGGGGCAGCCGATAGCCCAAAGCCTTTGGCAAAGTCTTGCAACCAAAGCTTTAGTCTTTGTATAGAAGGAACTTTCCGTTCGGGCTATTCTCTGACTCTGTACCTCTGCTGGGCCAAGGTGGATCGGTCATCTTCTGCATGTCACAGTTCCCACACAGATTGGAGTTACATCTATCCAAGGCCATGCAAGGTTGCCTTAGCATGGATTGGTTGCCTTATCTGGTGGTTTCAATGGACCGGTTCGGTTGAACATGGCATGGATCGTTCGAGTCGTGGCATGGATCGTTCGAGTCGTGGGTTCGTTCGGTTGAACATGGCATGGTTTTTTACATCTTGAAACCACCAGCTGGTTGGCCCTTCTTGAAGGCCATAGCACACGCTGCTCTTTTCTCAAAGTCAGACTAAACACCGTCATGACCATCAGTCCTTGACAGCATGGCTGACTTCCAGGCAAGAATTCCCAAAAAATCACACATGCATGACATTGACCGATTACAATCGTTCGACGGACAGTTTCAACCAACTCTGTCCCCATTCTTCGCTCTGGGTCTTTTCTTTTTGAGGAAAATGACCCAGCTGCCCCGAAACATCCCAAGGGTTTCGAAGCCAGAACCTTGATGACTTTCACCCTGCCCGTTGGAAGCGTTTTTTGCAATCTTCCATGGGCTTGATTGATTGCACTAAACATACACCCTGGCAATCCCTGGCAGCTGGCAAACGGATCCTGCAGCAATCATTCTTCCGTGTTTCCCTTTACTTTCAGATTCCTTTGGTCACTTGGCCAGGCTAACTTGGCTGACTGATCATCTCCGATGATCCCGAAATCAGAGCGATGCACAGCGTAGCCCGACATCAGCATTGAACGCTTTTAGTCTATCGAATCCAAATGGGATTCCTATAAAGGGAACCCCCCCCCAATGGGTAATTGGCCTAATTCCCTTCTTCCGAGTTGTTGCCTGGGAGGTCTCCGTAGTTGAGCTACAAACACAAATGTGTCAAATGATTTCTCTTGCCCAAAGGTCTCCATCCCACTGATCGCGCCGGACGCTGAACTCTCGCACAGCCGGAGTTAAGCTGCTGTGCCAAAACTCGGCTGTGGCCAGGGTCCCTGCAATGCTGAAAAACACCCAGCAGGAGAACTGCACGAACCGTGTGGCCTCCTGTCCTCTTCGCGAACTGAACGGCGAGATTGCGGCAACGAAGACACACCATTCGAGTTGCAAGTTGCAGCCAGAGATATGATTTGGTATTTGCAAAATGGATGCCACATAATGCCCCTGTGTACATATATTTTGTAGATCACAACACTGTTCTGGCGAACAACTAAGGATATCCATCCATTGGGATATTCTGCTCGGCTCACGGCGAGGCCCCACGGTAGGCGCAAAAAGATTGAATTTGGTTTCAAAGCCCACAAAATACTGGGAGTACCGATCACGGATTATAATCCCAACATTATAATCCCAAATGGCCCAGCGTCCAGGAGAAGGAAATATGTCCAACAAAAATCTCAATGAACTAAGTGGTTCGGTGGTGTTTTGAGAACTCCCGCTAGGTAGTTCAACTTCTTCTCCAATATCATTGGATTGAATGAAGCCTTCATGGCTCTTGATCGCTTTCTATCAAAAACACTCGAACCAATGAATACTAGCTGAGAAAGAACTGAACTCAATCAACTAGCTTCTCCTGTAAACTCAGGCAACCCATTTTGACCAACACAGTCCTTCAGCTCAGTTATTTTCGCAAGCCTCAGAGCTTTGGAAGAACATTGGCCTGAACCAGCTGTTCTTGATGCGCCCTAACTCCTTGGTCACCTTCCTCACGTTTGCCTCATACCCTTGCGTGATCGCCGGAGCCACCTCCAGGAGTTTCTTGGAGGAGTGGAGCCTGAGATGCCGGTGATGAAATTTCTGTGCAAAGTCTTTGGCGATGTCCGGAGATTGGAAGTTGATGAAGCCATAACCACGATTGCGTTTGGTCTTGAAGTCCATGGGCAAATAGAAGAAATCAAACATTCGATCAAAACCAGCCAGGATGAGCTCCCTCAACAGCTCCTCACAAGTATAGCGACTGGGAATGTTGCGCATCATCACTGTGGTCACTGCGGGCGTGTTGTCTTCGAAGACTGAAGGAATGGCTTCATGGCTGTCCTTCATACCGTTTGACATGGTTTCTGCACTCACCACTGATAACAAGACCTGTGGCTTCTGGTGGCTCCTTTCACTGTGCTCATCTTTAGGAGAGCCCCGCTCCAAGCATTCTTCCAGGAGCAACTGCCTTGAGGTCTTTGCGGGTGACGATGGCATCTCTGCTTTGAGACCAAGGAGCGAAGGAGGGATCACATAGGGCGTTGCTTGCACACGTTGTGGCGGTGATGGAAGGAAGCTGGGAGGCCTTGGTTGTGTGAAAAGGACGCAGGGCTCGAGGATCACCGAAAAGGGCTCCTTCGGACTCCATGGGCCTTGAAGCACAGAAATGAGGCCCAGACCAATGCAGCCATCTTCACAGCCGACACTCATTCTCCCAAATAGGAACGGCAAAGCAAGCTGGTTGCCTGAAATTGGCCGATGGTTGCCTGAAAATGCTGCTTTGAACCCAAAAATGGTTTCGCACATCAAACCTCATCAAACCTCCAACCGTCCGTCATCATCCATATCTGTAACTGCTGCTGTTGACACTTCAGCGCCAAAACAGTGAGCCGCCTTCTACGGGACTCTCGGTTTGGGGCCCACTTTTGAGACTCCCGGCAGAGGGCGCGAGCTTCTCCTGGACGAGTCGCTCCTAGAAGAAGCCAGGCCCGGCGAACCCAACGCACGGCAAATGCTGAGACTGGAGTCATCGAAAAAAATGCTCATATATGAAGAGTTTGTCTGTCTCCATCAATCCCGAAAACGAAGCCAAACATACATAAACAAACAACCGGGCGAACACTGAAGAAAAAACAACAAAACAAACCGCAGCGCTGCGCGGTCCTTCTCATCCGGCTTAATGCCTTTCTGCTCCGCTCGTACAAGTCGTTCAAAAGCCTCAGCAAAACCATTGGAGCTGTGCAAACGGAGAAATCTCCTTTTGCGCTCTTTGGAACCATCCATTTGGCATGCTTGACGAACATGTACTAGTACTATCTGTGTTTCAGCTGAAATGTCGAGTGAGGTCCTGTTTGGCAAGGATCCTTCAAAGAGACTAGATTTCAGGGTCCAGAGGGTTGTAGAAGTTCTGTCTTGGAGAACGACCCGGTGTTTGGTGGCAAGGATAAAAGCGAAGCAAGAACACATCACGCCTTCTTCACAATGTGATAACCACCGCCAGTGTGGAAGACGTTCAAGTCGGTCACCTTGGTTGGCGGCATAAGTATGCTGGTTGAATCTCAGGTGCCTCACAATGGACAAGTGGATCAAATTGGACTAACCTGGCAACCTCAAATAACAGAAAACTGAATAATGCAGTTTTCCACTAACAACGGGTGCTGAAGATTTTGGGGAGAGTCGGGGGAGCCCTTGGAAGCATGATGGAATTCTAAGTATGGAACATGGCAATTGTTTGTACAAAGGTTGAAGCCCCAAACCTCTTCAACGAACTACAACACTACTCCCAGCTTGACACCAAGAACCAAATCAAGTTCACGTTGACTGACTGAGAAAATTCGAGCTCGGTTCATGATCCTCTGAACGGCGGGCGTCGAGCCTCTAAAGGACCACGTCCATTCAGCTTCTGCCTGCCGCACAAGCCGTGTTCCCTGATAGAATCACAGAGGCCCAAACCTTTGTGGTGGACAGTGGTGGATGCTTGTTTGAATGATGCGAATCTTAGTTGAAGAACCGCATGCGTAAGCCAAGGCCCCATTCTCTGCAACGGAAACGACTCTCAAACAGCATCGCAACGGTACAGGGCGGACACAGTACCAGGTAGGGTGCCCAACCATAATTTAATAGTTTCGGTCCATACGGGGTTGCCTTCGAACTGCGGCGAGTCCCCTACGCACGCCTTGCTTGCTGGAAAAATAACACTAGGTCACTAGGCCAAGGTGGTTTGCCCACAGCTCGGAACGCGCTGCGCGTCACAGCTATTCGCCCACCGGCTGTGGGCCGCCAGTCTTTCTGATGATTTGTTTTCTGCAGTGTTGGATAGTTTAATTCTGCTCTTGCTGTGGATGCTTTCGGTCAGGCCCCTTCCTCCAAAGTCACAGGGGAAGTCTCCAGCCTCCAAAGCAAGCATTTCTTGGGAAACCCGTCTTTAAAACACGAGCGCTTTGTGCGAGACTTCTGCCAAAAGGGTGCCTTCCGCCCTCCGCTAAAAATCAGCTTTCGTGGCTCGTGGTGTGGGAGCAGGATTGGGAGGGAGGGCGCAGCACCTTGCCCCCACTAGCGCAAAAAAGCAACGGTTTTAAGGATCGTGTGTGCTACATTGGCCAGAGCCCGCGGCATAGAGAATCTGGCCGTCAACCACGGCCACACACAGCTTTGCAAGCTGGCCACCTGCAGCAGCAGAGTGCCCGCCGCTGCCCGCCACACTTGCAAATTGCCCACAGAAGCTAGGAAAAGCCAACAGAAGCCGCCAAAAGCCAACGATGGCCAACAGAAGCCACCAAAAACATGGAAACAATTCATTTTTAACAACCCACAAGAAATACGATGAACCCGGCTGCGCCGGTGTTCTCTTCGCTGATTTGTTTCATTCTCGGCCGCTTTCTTCTCCTTCTCGGCCTCCTTCTTGGCTTTCATTGCCTTTCGTTTACAGCTTCCTTGGCTTTCTTTTCTGCGGGTGGAATCTGCGCTCTTCCACATCAGCTCCCCGGCGAAACGTCATCGTCCGAGTCCGGCCACACCGCAGGCGCCTCTTCGCCATCGCGCAGAGTTGGAGAGAGCGAGCCGCAAAAGTTTGCATCGCCCGTAAATCTTTTGGCCTTGGTAGGGATCTTCTGCGGCCAGTTTGCAAGGCACAGCTGTAGCTGCAAACAACCCACATAGAGGGAGGCCGCAAAATAGTCCCTGTGGCAATTGCTCGCGCAAATAGTTGGACCTTCCGGCTTGCCGCCTTGCCCAGCCCCCGCGCCTGTCCAAAAGGTCGCAGAATCTTTTCGTGAGAGCGGCATTCTTTCTCAGCCGGCACTTCGGGCAACACTGCGGAGAAAATGCCGTACTTTCCGCATTTACCCATCCAGCACCTTAAAGGATGGTCAATGCAGCGCAAGTGGACCTCACACGGTCCCTGCTGAAAGCCGACATCTGGTCAGCAACTGTTGGTGTTGTGGAATGTATCATACAATTGAAACATCTTAGCGGCTCGGCTAGACAATGTGAAGCGATAACTCACGTCGTTTCCATCGAAGGCTGGCATCTCCACGCTGCAGCAACAAATCGTTCAACGCTCAACAAGATTCCTATAATATAGTATCCCCCTGTGTTCGCACATTACTGCGCACATGGCGCTAACGAGCCCCAAAACGATCCAATCCAGCCTCAAAACTGATAGAGCAATCCTCTGTCTTGGCACAGAACTTTGGAAACGCTGCCACAGATGCTCCCGTGTCAAAGGCAACTGGAGTCTTTTGGGCCCAACCACCAGCGAATACATGAGATACTATGAGATACTACATGTTCAAATGCCTGTAAACATGATGGATGGCTCATTATAATACTAGATATCAACTACTTGGACGAGTTCATCCAAAGGTAAAGATGTTGGTTCACCGCACCCAATCCGCCCGGCCCAATCGCTGCAATTTCGCCTCAAGGTCGAATGACAGGCATCCAACGCCTGGGCGACAGCTTTCGGCAGCGGCTGGGCGTCAGTTTCTGATTTCGGAGCTTCGCAGCCTTCGCGGATCGTTATAGATCTTTGCCACTGGCCTCCAAGTCTGCCTTGTCAGCTCCGGCTCCAAGGTGAACTGGAGCTGACATCTCCAAGCGATCTTCCTTTCCTTTTCAGAATGGAGGCATCAACCATTTCTTCTGAATTCGTCAATGCGTGACCCTTCAAGTCATCCGGAGATTTGCTGAGACCTCAAAAAAACGTCGCCACTAGTCTCAGCTTCGGTCGGGCACAAAAACCCCTGACGTGTCCTCATGGCGTGGGTGGGTGGTGTTGATCCCCATGGCGCGGTGTCCAGTAAGGACGATCTGTGATGGGCAAAAGAGGATTCGGACCTCGAAAAAGCTAGAAAAAATACTTATATAGCGACGGACAAATAGTTAGAAACAGGTTTGGAAAACAAAGGTGGTTTTAGAGTGCATGGTAACTGTCCTACACTTTAGAGTGGTCTGGCTACACGAAACGAACCTGCCCATGGTCTTCCCGCAGGCGGCTTCGAAACAATGCCATCCTCGCCTCGCCCTCTTTGCGGGTTGGTGAGGTCTTCTCTGAAACATGGTCTGTTCATTGTTCTAAACAAACCACTAGATTTCTAAGTGATGAGTGTGATTTCTAAGTGTGTTTCCCTCAGCAGTGCCGGACATATATTCAAGTGGACAAAATTTGTCACTATCCTTCAGGAAGTGCCTAAGTGTCTTTTTGCATTACAGTAAGTGCGGTGATCTTCTGCATGGACTTTGTGTTTCTATGCCATGGGAAAATTAGTTTTGGAAAATAGACAGGGTTCCAAGTAAAAGTCCGGCACTTTATAGGTGTTTCCAAGGTAATTCGACGGCAAAACATAATAAGAGGTAGCCAAGTATACCAAAAGAGGGTGCATGCCAGAAGTTTCCGTTTTCGATGATGCTTGGACTATGGGAAGGCATGTTTACTGCGAATACTGGGAGCCATATCCGGCAACTGGAGGAACATCCATGAACAAAAGTGTGTAGCATCCGAAAACCATCTTCAAAGGAGATTCTCTGGCAAAAATCCTTCCTCAATTTGTTTGGAGGAAAACATGAAACACTTTAAATCATGTTAAGTCCAAATGAGGAAAATCCCTTCCCGACGTCTTTGTGCTCGGGTTGCCCTGCGTCAAGGTAGCACTCCACACTGTACTTGCCATCGGTGATGGGTGCCATATCATGCCTCACAGGGCAGGGCCACACAGGCCCCGTTTCTTCAAAAATGCCCGGCGCAGGGAGAGCTAAGATCGACCAAGATTGAATATGGCCAGCTGAAAGCCCTGCCGGCAGGTGCACCCCGCAAGATCTCGACCAAATCTATTCCGGAATAAATACACTCCGACTCACAGTAACATGGACGTGAAGCACTTCCTGTCGATCGTCTTTCCACATGTTCGACGTCCACCTGTTCTTGGATACCACGAGCGGAGAAAGGGAACCTGCAGGCTTGGGAAGAACTGGAGTGCGGGGTTGGTTGGCCGGTTGGACCTGGTTTCACTGCACCTGCAATTCCGGGAGGTCGTGAAGGCCTCTGAATTGGGTCGTGGAGATACTATGGTCTCCCCACATCACCCTAGAATGATGGAGGAAGCATGAAGGTACAGTGATCAGCCCCCCCCAAGCTTCGAGAGTGCGGATTCGGAACATCAGAGCCAGCTGGTCCGGTCTTCAAATCTCCGTCTCACGTCTCAGCTCGCGGCCATAGCCCGTCTCTCGTCTCGCCGAGCAGAACCGGACGAAAACCCACCATGACCGGCACGCTCAACCGGTCCAGCGACGTGCAACGTCTGCAGGTCGGTGTGAACCTCTGGGTCAAATCATTTGAAACGCGAGTCCCGCAAAGACCAGGGGGGCTGTTGATGGTTCACAGTCTTTTCAATCACCATGTCACGAATTATTCTTCATGCCAAGTTCACTAGTTCCCCTATGTTCACCTCCAATCATGACCCCCAGATTGGCTTTCTCTGCTCCTGAGGCTCCTTGCCAGCCAACCGGTTTGCAGAAGTCGAAACGATGTAGCACACAGGAGGCGCCTGGAGAGTCGCGGGGAGAGCGAGGTCGGAGGCCATCGGAAGTCCCAATGAACAAAAGCAGGGAACCCATGGAAACCCTGCTTGACCCCTGGACGCTACGATCGGGGCTCCTGGCCTTACTACTAGGAACAAGAACACTACGAACGGAGCATTTCGGGCATCGCTACGAACGGAGCGATCGGACGCTATGGTGGCACCCTGCTCACTGCTTGACCGCGGAAATATGAACAGAGTGGACGCGTTCCGGGCGAGTTCCGGGTGCGACCGGGGCGACTTGCCAAAGCTGGACAATCGAAAAGGCCCCGTATCCGATGATCAAAAGTCTGAACCAAGAAAAAGACGCTCATCCGCTTCGCAGTTGTTCCCACTTGCTTTCATCTTTTTTGGGGGGGTCATGCGTTGGGTCACCCCAAAACGCTGACTGAATTCCGAACCCGTATGAACCATAAGTTCGGTTAGGTTTCAACTCCGCTCTTGCTAGAACGGTTTTCGGTGTGTAGCCATCAACCGAGGCCACCACAGCTTGTTGAATGGTGAGATACCAAAAGCTCCACGGATATGATAGAGCAACAGAAAGAGCCGCGACATGTTGCGACTAGTGTCTCCAAATTGAAATCAGTAAAGCCCCCAGAAGTGAGAAAAGTGGAAGAGAGGAGTTTGCTCACCCAGAGACGACACTTTTTGAGTTTGCCAACCCCCTAATTAGTCAGTTTGTCCTGAGAAGACGACACTGGGACTTTGCCAACTGACACTCCCAGTGTCGTTTGGCAAACTGTCGTCTTTCTGGACACTCCACGCTGTCCACGCTTCATGGGTCGCTTCATGGGTCGCCCCACGTTGACTGTGGTGAGACATGGGCGCGTCCGGGAAAAAGAGCGTCGCAGTGGTTGCCTCGGCGTCCCAGGAACTTTGTCTTCTATAAACTAAGAATAAGTCAAGAGATCATTCTTCACAATACCATCACCCATACACTCTGTGTATACTATATATATTATATTATAGGTATATCCCACTACCAGCAACAGGTTAGTAATGGCATTTCTCTAAAAGAGTAATAGTAATAGCTCTTTACCGATGGCTACAGGTAACAGGACAGACACTCTCTAAAAACACTTGTCTAATGGGTCCGAAACTCTCTCGCATGTCAAAGATTGTCGAAGTGTTGGGTGGCGTGACTACTCCACGATGTCCGCGACTTGAAAAAGCGAACTTGACTTCTCGTGAGACTGCGAAGCTATGAAGATTGATGAAGTCATCACCCCTGGAAGCCTATACAATGGTATCAAAGAATCTAATCAGTACAAGACCTACAGGAGAAATGAAAGAAATCTGTTGCATCTTCTGAAAAACATCTGTTCGAACCAAATCTAAAGCTCCGACTCTGTTCACCCTGACTCTTTCTCCGAATCGGGGAGACCCACGATGGCCCATCCCGTGACTCTCCATCTCCCATCCACAGCAGTTCTCTCTGCCAAGAAACCGCTCCAACGAAGGCCATGAAGCCTGGATGAGCCTCGGAGATATCCGTGGCCACCGCAATGCCGTAGCGGCCGTCCCAGCCTCGGAAGAAAGAGAGAACTTGGGGGGTGGTTCTTGTTCTGAAGGGGGCACCAAAGTTGTTACTTCTGGGGTGTTTGGAGAGAGCTTTTGAGAGAGTTTTGGGAGGTGAAAATTGTTAGTTTTTGTTGGTTCCAAGGTCGGCTGCTACAGTTGAGACATAGTTGAAACTCTTGGCTGTCCGAAGGAAGAACAATTTCTTTCCCGAGGACGGACGTTGGCTGGGAAAGAGGGAGAGCGGATTTGAGCGGGAAAACTGGAAAACGGTTCAAAAGCAATGTCCTTACCTTCTCGCAATTCATTCAATCAAAAGGTATTTACAATCTTGGTATATTAAAGCGCGGTTGTTGTATTCTCTTTCACGGTCTCAATCCCTACCGTTGCATTGGATAATAAGACTTGCTCATTCACCATTTACATCAATCTACCACAACAATAAGACTTTTCGTTGTCTCTTGTTGTGGGAGATGTTTGAGATTCATACGGGCATACACCAGCTTAAAATGTGCCCAAAATGGTTGAAAAATGTTAAAATATAATGCAGTAAATTGTGGCTGCACCGTCAATGCAAGATCAGGTGCTTGTGTGTGTGTGAAGCCAATACATAAGTGGCAGCAAATTGGTCAAACAAATGTGAACTCATCAACCCTTTCTCGGAATAATTGTGCGGAAAGCCCCTGTTGCCTGGCAGCATTAGGCCCCTAGCAGTGATGCTTGGACACACTCGCGTGGTCCCTTCAATTGCGCTGCCCTTGAGCAGGTCTGTTGCGTCCTTCGTCTCCTTCGTTTGGCCACGGTTCAAGCTTCTGAGCCTCCGACGATCTGACTCAACCCAACTCAAAGTACAAAGCCCACAGGCTTGACCGCCATAGCATGCGTTGTATTGATCCACACCCTGGCGGACAAATGGTGCAAGAGCAGGAATATGAAAGGATGATGTGATGGTGACGATGATGATGATGATGATGATGATGGTGATGATGATGATGATTTGGGAGGAACTGGCCCAACTACCTCCAGAGCAGCATAGAAGAAAACTTATGTCTTGGGTCTTGGGTAGTTATATAAACTTGAAGGAGCCCGCTGATTAAATCCTTGCTACTTTCAAAAGATGATCTTCCGCCCAGGGAAGAGCTCAGAGGAAGCTGCGACTCTTCAGCCAGCCACACCCAGGACGACCCTGTGGGTCCGAACCGCGCACGCGTGTCCGCTGTCTGCGTGTCCAGAGGAGTGAAACCAGGTCAGCTTTCGGACGTGACTCCTCGCCTCGATGTTGGACTCGTTGGCATAGCGCTCAAAGATGTCCATCACATAGGACTTCATCGATTTGGACCGGTCCTCGAACGTTCGAGTGGGCTCGGGCTCATGAATCGAGAACACCGCTCTCCCTGAAGGGAGCTGAAAACTGGATTAGATTTTTATATGTACCTTATATATACTGTATTTGACAATTCGGGTTTTCTCTCACGCGTCGGAATCGAAGAGTCTGCTGTCCCCCGTTGGGCATCGGGAGCGGAACTTGGAGATCATCCAGAGTCTGCCGGCCACTATCTTGGAGTGGGCTCCGCGTTGCTGGCAGGTCACTGCATCACCCCGTCGATGAATTTGGTGGGTGGCATGAACCTGCCAGACGGCGGCATCCAGAGGACCCACCATGCATGGGCTCGGGATGAAGGCCTTGAAGCTGTGCTCCCCGGCGCGGCTGAGAATATAGCCTTTGTATCGAAGATAAGCCTTCTCCAAGACGAAGAATTGTGTTTCTGTTCCTCTTCCAATGATTCTCGTCTGTCAGGAAGGTCTACAGCCCAAAGCTCAGAATCTCACAGCATCCTCGTCAACCATATGTTTTCGACAGCGAGGGTGCAATCTGGGATGCCACCATGGCCAATGCACGTGGGGCCATCAATGTCGAAGTCATAGTCCACCAAGTAGCTGTGGTGTGTTTCGCAGCTTGAAAACTGCTCCACACTGAGCTGACCAAAAGACTTGATGCGCTTCTTGTCATCCTCAAAGCTTCAAAGCCATGATAGAGGCACAATGACAGTGTCCCCCGGCGGATGAGCCGGGTTCATGTCAAACATAAGAGAATCGACTCGCCCTTGGGGGAAGTCCGCTGGCCTGTGCCTTCGAGGACATTGCAGGGCGCACAGCACCCTTGTGGAGGCGGTTTGATTCTTGTGGCTCTGCGCAGCTATCAGTTGCCTGGCAGCCTGGCGCCTGATTGAAATTGTCCCACACTACAAGTTGCATAGGATGATGTTGGCATAGCACAGAAATGCGGTGAGGACCTGTGCCAAGATATAAGAGTTGACAAAGTGTTGAACCTGATGTGAGGAGGCGTGTGATATCAGCCAGAAGCTGCTGTCCTGTTGACGCACGACGCAACGCTCATAGGATCGAAGGAGATCTTTCTTTCATCACCCCAAGATGGGCAAAGGCAAAGAGGTAGACCGTGTGAAGTTCAGTAGAAGGAGATGCCCTTGATCTTCTGCGGTCCGCCTTCACGGCAATCGAGGAGCACAAAGGGAATGTGGCACCCTCGTTTAAGGCAAAGCCTTTGCCGTGCGGTCTCGCCGCGTTGCGCACCAGGCCGGCTTCACGGGCGGCGGGCCTGAGCAGCTGGATCTTGAGCCTTGGGCCAAGAGATCTACCTGAGAAGGGAGGGGACGAAAGCCAGCCTCTGTACGGATTGAGAAAGTTAGAGGTGATGTCGGCACGGACCAAGAAGCAAATATGCCAAGTTTCACATTGACGCTTGAGATGATCGAGCCAGTATACACCAGGGCTGTACAAGTTTGAAGGCCTTCAGTAACATTTAGTTACTGTTGTTGGTTATAGGATAGATTTGGGTTCCAGGCGCTTGTACAAACGTTCAAAACTTTGGATATCCCTGTTCGAGGGGGCGCCGTTCTTCAATTGGTTTAGGGCCCTTTTCAAGTAGAAAAGAAGGCGCCCTTAACGGTAAACGTGTGGGAGTTCTGGTTCACTTTGCATGAGCAGCAATTTGAACGTGTAGGCCTTAGCCTCACAAAGCACGGGCTGTGATTTTTGTGGTTAGCGTAGCGCGCAGCAGGACTGCGTCTTCTGTCCATGCTTGACAGTCTTCCCTCACAACATCTTACGACCACTTTCCTGCTTAAATGCGGCGCTCCACCTCTGAGGTTGGCTTGATAAACAGTGGAGTATCAGTGTCACTGGGTAGTACTCCAACAGTTTGTGTCAATTCTTCCAAACCAAACGGATTCCTCGCAGAAGCACAATACCCTAGTGCTGCGCAATCAGACCATGCCCTGTGGACCACACCTATTGGCTTCCTACACACCGTGTCAATCTGAGACGCAGCCAATAAAGGCATCCATGTTAGAGATGCCAAGCACAGGCTCCACATGTTGAGACGCGCACTGTTCAATACCTTTTCGCTGTGGGACACTGAGAGGTTGTCTCTGGAGATCGACACTGAACAAAATTTCTTTTCTCACGCATGATGCCAGCGTCAGCACGGCGGGTCATTATCGTCGAGGGCCTTGATCCTTGATGCGATGACTGTGCACTACAAGGGCGATCGGCTATGCTGCTGGGCACTGGACAAGCAACATGACTACAAGCTTCACAATTGCGGTAAGGATGCCCAACTGCCTGCGCTTGTCTACCGAAAGCTCAGCGCAAACTCGAGTCGGGCAGTGTACGCGGAGGCTCACTAGGCCAACCCTCCACGCATTGCCCTTTCCTGCTTTTGATTGAACATCCGGTGAAAAAGAAGCAGCATGGGTGCGGGACAACAAATCCAGTGCTCTTTTTGTCAAAAAATAACTAGCCCCTCTCACCTGTGGATCGGGGGCTACCTGCAGTTCAAGTATATTCAATACACATACTGCTAGGTCAACAAGTTTTTGCACGGGTCATCCTGACACATTCCTGTCGTGAGAGGTAGTGTGTTGTCCGTCCTGTGTCACTCTATTGTTTGCGTCCTTCGAGCATGGCTCCCAAGTTTTTTCAACTTGAAGCTCAAGTCATCCGGTTGAGTTTCTGCTAGCAGTGATCAAACATGGATATAGACCCTTTTACCCGATGTGCTGAGCGGCCATGGGTCCTTCACAGACGTCGAGGCGTGGGGTGTCTTTGCATGGGCTTCGGTGGGTGCCCTTCTTGGTTGCATTTCGAATTGTTTTGGTGGGTACTAAGGGCACCCCGTATTAATATCTAGTTGTAAGCGTGAAGCTGTCCGGAACTTCCGTGCAAAGTTTCCGGAACGCTGTCCCTTTGGGAGTTTGAAGCTTCGAGGTCCCTGCCTACATTTGGTCTCCAGTCTCCTCCTCTACCTGGACTCACACACATGGTTAGCTCGTCCAGTAAACTACTTTAATAGACTTTGTGGATGCTGATGATGGACTACTCAGTGTGATTTGCATCACTCGCATGACTCAGACCTTTAAAACATACATTTCACTACCTTTTGGACCACCTCTTTTTTTCGCTCTCCCCGACCAAGCTCTGGGTTCACCCTACCGGGTTGTCCTGCCCCCTAGTACTCACTTCGTTCGCCCATCGAGGACTCAGCCAAGTCTACCGGGTTGCAACATATATATATATATATACAACAATTTATATGTATATTTCTCGTCAACCAAATGAATCTCATCTGATTCAAGCTATGATCTGGCCGATATATAGAGATGCTGCAACCTCCATCAGTTTGCCCTGTTTCAAGAAAATAAACTCCAAACAATACGTTCTTCTCAGACGACCCGTGGTCCAGTGGGCATCAAATGCAAGGCAACTCGCACGCATCTGGCCTGAATAGATTCGGTGCCGATGTCTATGCGGCCAATAGCGTTCCTGAGATTGGCACAGGCCTATGCTTCTGGTTGAACTCCCACACATGCTCCAGAGAAATGTTACATATTAATTCTATATATATATATACATCCAGGTGTACCATGTTGTACCATTCTACGGTGACTGGGGAAGCATGGGGAAGCAATCCACCGATGTATAATTATATTCTTCTAGAATTCCTCAGTGCCTCAGAGAGCACTTCAGCTTGATTTATGATATCTTAAAACATGGCCCAGGAATCCAGGAATGGGGCCGCTGCAGCACCTACTATATATAAAACATTATAAAACAACAACCAACAACAACAACAACAACAACAACAACTCAACAAGAACACTTATCAGTCACCCTCCCTTAAGCAAACCAATTGGTTCAATCAACTTGTTGTAGCATCGATTTAGCAGCCAAATGCCGAACCCCTGCACTAAGAGCACTGAAGTTGACAGCTTGGTGGGTTCTCCATGGCCCAAAATACGCTACAAGCCACATCATGATGTCATTGCCACGTGTCCAGACACTCAAAGGCTGCCCATTGGGCATGTAGTTCCCCGTCTCGTTGATGCCTGGTACACGGCGCGCGCTTAATGACAGCTCCTTTAAAAAGAGAATCTGTCACATTCATCTTAAACCACGCAACACCTGAAATTTCAAAGATGCTCATCATCCACTGCACTCTCAGTTCTCCCACCCAACTGCTCCAGCTCCGCCCGGCGCCTTTTTGTTCCATCCTCTCCAGTAGTCGGTGGACGACAGTCATGGAGAAGGAGATGGGATCCTCATCATCGGTGGGGAAGCGCGCTTCCACTTGGCCGATGCCTGGCTGGTGCTGTTTCACCCGGCCAGTGCCGGTGTCGCTCTTCATCTTGTGCTAGAAAAAGCTGCACATCTCTTGTGTGTGTGTGTGTCAAATAGCACTGGTGATCTCCTGAGGTGGGACACGACACGAAGAGACTTGAGTGGACATGACCTACACACGAAAGATGTCGTTTGAGCGACCAATGGGCTTTCTCCCCTCCAAACCCCTCCTCTCATCGATCCGGCTCCACAGGACGGGCCCCTGAGCGCCTTTGGTGTATTTCCCGATGACTGTCGGGCCATACCTCCAATTTCCGCAGCTCACCGTGCATCGACAACGGCACACCAGTTCGCTGCGTGGCAAGATGCGGTGTTTCAACGGCCGGGACCCCGGTTCGCTGCGTGGCTGTCACCAGATTCTCCCCGACGTCAGACGGAGCAGAACACGGCACGGTTTCCAAGGATTAGGACATCTTCCAGTCTTCCAAGGAGAGTCCTTGTTTTTCTCTGTTCCCTGCCTAGTTTGCGTCCGAGGGTGCAACAGCAACATCTGACTTGGGTCGAACAGACGTGCCATGTTTCTGCGATGCACCGACAAAGGAGGCATGTCCGGTGAATGATCATCGTTTTCTGTGAGCACACAGCGGTGGCCAAAGCGACACAGTTGAAAAGTTGAATCAGAAGGACACCTGGGTGATGGAGAAAACAATTCTATACCAGCCACCAAGAGAACGGTCCCCAAAAGTCTGGTTTGGTCCTGCTGTGTGGTTTCAGCTACCGCCGAAGTCAAAGACTGGTCCTTGATGAGCCTCACTGCAGGAACCCCCGCCTGTCTGGTTTGGCATCAAACTCCTACACGTGCGCGAAAGGGTTGACCAACCCTCTGCTCATCTCACTCCGCTCTTGGTGATTTGGGCTTGTAGCATAGGTTCCTCAGGTTTACCAGCCTACCACATGTCCTTTTTTGCACAGAAAACTACACCCTGTTGTTCTACTCAGTCCAGCTGTAACAGCCTCCTGCCAAGTGCCGATCTGTTGTTTTGCAGGGTTTATATGGTGCTACTAGGCCACACAAGTGCACGAGAGCCACGAGAGCATCCCCCCTTTTTCACCTTGAGCTCGGAGATGCAGGTCAAGTCGAGTGTTGAGTTGGCGGCAGGATTCTGAAGATCAACAGTCAGTACAACCGTGAACAAATGAGTTTCGCCACCCACAACTGTTCTGCTAGTGCAAGCTGTCTGGCCTCCCTGATGTTTTGACCAAGGTCCACGTCTTTTTATAGCGTGTCTATACTCGTGTCTATCTGTTGGAGGTCCGGGTCCTCCATGTCAACTTGGGTGAAATAGAACTGCGGCCAGTAGATTTCGATGGTGTGGATGCCTTGCGGTTTGCGGCTTCTTTGACCCGGCTCGCCAGTCGAATTGGGACCTGTGAGTCTCATCATGTTTCGGTTCGGGTGGTGTTTTCTGCAAGAAAAGCACTACACAGAACACCCAGTCTGTTTCAAGCTGCAAGTTCATCTCAGAAGCTTTCCCCAAAAGTGGGCGGCCCGCTTTTTAGGCCGACTCGTCTCCGTGGATGGCCAAGCAGTGAGCCTGTTGCTGGACAACTGTCCAAAAACATGAAGCAAAACCTTGCTTTGTCATGGCTTTGTCTGCCAGGTGAGCTCGTCCCTTTCTCCGCCAGAACGACAAAACAGAAACACCGCACCGTTTCCAGTACCCTCAACTCCTTGAGTTCCCAATGTAACAAGGGCTGGAGGAACGGATCTTCTCTTTGCTTGGGGAATTCCCGTGGGGATTTGCGAGATGCTCTGGATCTGGCAGATCTGGTCGGGACAATATTGTGGAAGATCATGCATGGACCGTTGATAATTAGGGCAAGAGCAAGCACCAAAGGACTGCTTCCTCTGAAGAGAGGCTTGTTTCTGGGACCCCTCAAGGTTTTGTCTCACTGGTCACTTGTCTCTGGCACCATCAAACCCACCAACCCCTAACACCCCAGCTAGAGAGACTGACCCCATGCACACCATGCTGGCCACAAAAAGCCTCAATGAATGCGAAAACGCATCCGTTGCATCACTTCAGCGCTGGCACGCACAAGAGCTTCTGTGGATTCATCACCTGTCAACCCATCCAAGGCTCCAAAATCAACTCAGGCGCCTGGGCCATGGTTTGGAAAATTGAAACTAAAAGGGTATATGGCTGGGAGCAGAACGTCCCCCACTAAGCCCTTGGAGCTTGACATTCCTTAGAGAGTGCCTCTCACGCCATCCCTTCGAGTCCGGCCTGCGTTCCGCGATCTTCTCCCAACTTGTTGCTGCGGCACCAGCTCCGTCTGCCCCACCATGTCCCAAGTCTCTTGACCTGCACAAGGTGGAAAACTGGTTGTTTTGGGGCATCAAACCATGTGAGACCCCTAATCAGATCTAACTTATCTGTTAATACCATTTCTATCTACTTGGGGAACCCCCCTAAGTCCTCGCATGTGTTTCTTTCGCTCGTCGTGTGTCTTGTTCTGAACCGGCATAATGAGGTCCGTCACTTCGGCAAATCGGATTTTCCTTGCAAGTTCTTCGCTCACACTCACTGAAAACAATGTATATAAATATTGTATAGTTGTTCTCAAACAGATAGTGGCACGTTTTCCAATACCTTTTTAGTGGGGATTCTACTTTTCTATCTACTTGGGGGTCTATATAGGCCACTATATGGGTGTGTATGGATGTATATGGTATAATTGGAGCAATGGGCGGACTGCTCTCCGAACCTTCCAGGGGGTCGCTACCTGGGGGTCTCCCATATCAACCAGTTCGACGTACCAGTCATGTTTCACTTGTGATTTAATGAAACAAGTATGGCGCTCTCCTTGCCTTTCAATTCACGAACGGACATGATTGAGGATGTTCAAGAGATTGAAAGGCCAAGGAGTGCGTATGGAAGGCTGAGATCTGTCCCGCCTGGATCGTACGGTAAGGGAGGCTTCCGGACGGCGGTCACCGACACACCGGACGGCTTCTTATGTTTTAGCCAGCCCGATTTGAGCCTCTTGACCCTGCTTGAGGATTTCCTTCCGAAAGCACCAGTGATCTTTCCTGCAAGGAAGAATTCAGGTCTGAGCCTGGAAGGAGGAAATGAAAGGCCCTCCATCTCCAAAGTTGGTGAACCCTTGTCCAATGAAACATGTGCGGTTGGATGCAAAGCCAGGAGTCCACAGATTGGATGGGATGGTGAAAGTCCGGGTTCGCACCTAGTCAGACTAGCCATCTCCACAGATTAGATTTAGGAAGTTCGTGTGCCACGTCTTGCTTTAGCAAAAAATGTCACCAGAATTGAGGTTTGTGGCAGGTGAAAGGGTGAATGTGTGTTGTTTTTTTCGAGTTTTGTGGCAGTTCGCACGGTCCAAATTTGAAGATTTGTGGCAGACCAAGGGGTGACGGTGTGCTGATTCTTTTGAGTTTTGTGGCAGTTCGCACGGTCCAAATTTGAAGATTTGTGGCAGGTCAAGGGGTGAATGTGTGTTGATTTTTTTGAGTTTTGTGGCAGTTCGCACGGTCTGAATTTGAAGCGTGGCAGTGCCACACTGTTTGTGTGACATTTTCTTGCAAAGCAGCGTCCACCAACACGTGATAGAAGTACCTCCTAAGATTAGATCCTTTGGGGCCGATGGCATCCACCGCTCCATCGATCAACATAGCTTTGGTGCACACACTTTGCTGCCACGCCAATGGGCCGGAATATGCCACGCCACTGGACATCTTTTCTTCATCGAACACGGGTGATAGACTGAGACAAACCCAACAAACTAGCTGCTGAGAGCACCATAGTGATTGGGTTACACCCTCTGGCCCAGACTCGCTTGTCATAAAGCCGGCGTCCTCGACCTTGGCATCCTGGAGGAGGAGTTTCGCTGCTGGGGGAGAGATGGGGGACCAAACCTGCGGTTTTGGTGGTGAAGAACAGACATCGAATTCAAAAATATTCCACACAAAGGAACCAAAAGGTCCACCATGTTTGAGGCCACATCTTCAGTCTTCTACAGTAGCCTCGCTTGAGCGCTTCTGACCTCGGCCACGAGTGATTGATGTTTTGAGAAAAGACTGACTTGCATTCCACTTCACCTCCATGCTGGGTCTCGTCCATCGGCGTCAAGTGTTCGGCGCCTGCTTGCCTCCTCTGGCATTCAGGGCCAACCTCAGTTTGTCACTCGTCCAAGGTGCTGGCCCCTTTGTCCGTAGCATGTGACGAACTTAGGTCTCAAAATATCCTGTATCGTGCTTACCAAGCAAAAAGAAATACGGGAGGAATCCTGGGAAGCAGATTGAGCCATGTTAGCTCTCATGCAACAAATCCATCGAACTGGCACCCAAGCATGTCTTCTCTGCAAGAATGGTAACTTCAAGATTCTCAGTTCTGCATGGCTTCACATTAAGGCACTAAGGCAAACGCATGGCTTTCATCTTCTCTTCCATTGGAGACGGCATGGTGACCTTAAGGAAGCTGCCAAGACAACTCCCGACGCCCTGACTCTGGCTTCTAGCCTGGACTGGTAATACTTGGAAGTTGTATGAAGTTGTATCATCTATACAAGACAGGATGATTTGAGATCCCTTAGGCTTGACTTCCCTAGGTGGCGACAGCCGACAGCCCACAAAGCCTGTCGTCCCATGCAAAGTTTGCCTGGCAGAGGGCCATATAGTCCCCCAGCCCCACTCTCAGCCCGCGACCACGTTCTCCGGAGCAATCCAAAACCGTTGGCGCCGAAGAAGGGTAGGATGGTGTTTTTGAGGGTCCAGATTGAACAGCAAAAGTGCTCACTCAGTTCTTAGTGCAGGTGTTCAAGCTTATCTTCACTCGTTCATCTGGAGCTGCTGAATCCTTGGTCGTATATTCATCTCACACCAAAACGATCCAGAAGGCTTAGCAGCCAAGACCGTGATGAAAAAACTGTCCAGATTTGAGCTTTTTTCAGCACATCTGACGAATCCATCTCTCTTGGTTTTTGCGGTTCCTTCAGCACACATCGAATCTGAAACACGTCGATTCTTGAGCCAAACACGGATCCGGTTGCCGCAGATGTTAGGCACTGCACGGGTGTAGAGATCTCGGTGAGTGGGTGTGGCTCGTTCCAAGTGACATCCTCTTGGTTAGTTTGCGGTGTGATCGTGATTCTATTATAGATTGATCCCGTGCTTTGCTGAGAAAACTCGGAAAACCTTAGATAGAGGTAGTTCATTAGTTAGTCATTACAGTAACACATTGCTGCATTTGGGTTGGCTTGCAGTTCAACCTCTATATACAAATATATAAATCTGTTGTCTCTCAAGGCAACCAAAGCGCGGCAAGAGCTTACCGAGACCTAAGAAAAATACGCAATGATGATGATGATGACAAGCGCCTACCAGCGTCTACCTGTTCCTGCATCTGTTTTCAACAAAGGAATTACATAAACGGATCATAATATAAGGACATCTCTGAGCCGTTCTGTTAGTTGTAATTTGATTTTGGATATGTTTGGTAATTTGGCGGAGTTGGTGGATTTGCCTTGTGATGCTGACCTTACAACAGCTCTGCAGATGTGGTGTGGCTAAATCCACCGCACAAAGCCACCCGATTCGTCATGCCAGCCTGGAGGCTTTGCATGTGATCCTTGTATTGGATCAAGGCATTCATATCCAGCCCCAGGACCTCGGCATGCCATCATGCGTCAGACCATGAGGGATCGCATTCAACCAGACCCGACGAATGCAAGAAAAACCACAAGGAAGACCATGCGAACAACATGTCAATGTGAATTTAAAGTGCTGTCAAAAGGATGCCCATATTCGAGGTCACCCGAATTGTTCTTTCACTCTGCCCTATGACTAGATTCTGGCCTCCTTCAACTTCTCGCCAATACGGAAGCGTGCCTGGGGTGGCAGCTGCCAAAAACCGTCAGTGGGCGGCATCTCTGTCACTAGGTTCAAAGCGGAGACAGGCGGCCACTTTGGTTGGATTTGGGATGGCGCTCAAACTGATCCGCACAGTGCAAACTCGTTGTGAAAGGATGTTGAAGCACCAGCAAGAAACCCGTCTGCGCAGCAAACAAAATATCTGGTATAGAATAAAGACTGAAATGCATCTTCTTGCTACTAGTTGTAATGCACTTGTTTCTAGTAGCGATGCACCTGTTAATAGCTAGCTGTGGTGTAGGCCCACTCCTTCCATACAGTCCACACCAAGGTCCACACGGAATTGTCCCTGTTGGTCAGATTCCAGACCGACAGCACATCGTCCTGAGGAGTCGGGACCCAACACACAAGAGATCGCCTAACATGTCCCGCCCGCTCTCCTTGAGGCGGGTGGAGAGCACGCAGCCCACCACGTCTGGCAGCTCGAATTCCTACGCGGGTCGGTGGTCAAAGCTTGGAGTGGCAGCAGAGCGACAAAAGAATGAAGATTCTGTGAGAGTCAATGAAGGGTCTTTCTTTTGGACCAGAAAGCGTCTTAGTCTGTCCTGTTGGATCAAAACAAAGTCATCATATAATACATATATGTACGTACTTGCTAGACTGAAGGATAATGTATTCATTGCATTTATGGGTGTTTATGCTTCTTGAGGCTTCGTTACCCAACCCCTTGATCAACGACCAACTTAGCGAACTGTGTCCATCCCGCTCGTGGTGAAGCCGATCAAAAAACAATCTGTCTTCACTTCTTCTCCCACTCCAAAACTTCCAATGTGGACCGCCCCCATGTCCAACGATGTGTGGACCCCGCCCACGACCATCCCACGACCATCCCATGACCATCCGCGTTCTTCGATGCGGCCCTTCGAGGTTGCAGCCGTCCACCGGTGTTTCACCGGCGGTGCAACGTTTCACCGTCACCTCTCCGATGAAGGCCAAAAGGAGGTTCTCCCACATGCGATTCACATAGTTCTGTGAAGCCTGGCGTTGCTGTCATTGGCTCACGGTGCTAGCCAAATTTGCTAAGACAGGACTTTTTATCAGCTTTCTGCTGAGGTTCACGAGTCCACCTGCAAGAGGAATTGCAAGGAATCGGCCTTGAAGATTCGTGGGAAGATGAGCCCAAATGACTTTGTCTCAGACTTAAGACCTGGAATGTCTCGTCACCCCAGAGTGCATCGAGTGATGTTCCTCTGGTCTGTTCCGCCTCAAGAACATACTGGGCTGATTTGTGTGGGTGCAGCGGACAAACAAGAAAACCACTATTTGGGTGGCAAGTTCAAACTGAGTTGGAAACCTAGAATCCAACAACAATGTATCATGTTCTATATATCTTGCCATTCTTTGGTGTCCCACTACAGCTTGCTTTGATTCCCAAGTACATATTCAACACCAAGGACCGACTCTGCTAAAACATGAGTCGGAGGAGGCAGAGATCATTGGTTCTTCAAAGCATTCGCTGATCTGGTACTGATCTGGGTCCGTTACGGGCTGATCTGTTGAGATCTGGGTGATGACGTCAACGCAGGACTCGGACCTTGATCTGCCACCATCACCCGACTTCTCCCCCCACTCGTGGCCTTCCGCTTGATACGGATGATCCAGCACCCACCCTCCGGGAATTCCTAGACTGCAAGGACAGAGAGGGTATCCGCGCCCGGGGGGGGCAGTGCCCGAGTGTCGGCATGGATAGAGTATGATGGAGTACTACACTTGTTCTTCAAGAAAGCAGAACAAGTCTCATGACCGCAGAATCCCTACATCTCCTTGGGCATCTTCGGGGACGCCGAATGGAAGCCGGTTCCCAAGGCCTCCGTAATATGTCCATGATCCAACATGATCATGATTCCTACACTTGATGAACCTGTGTACTGTGTGCCCTCCACCTCATGGAGACAAAGAGAATGCAAAAATGAAGATGACACACATGCCAAATGTACGTCACATCGTGCTCTATATCTATCGGATACTGTTACATCTTCAAAAAGAACAATTTTAAGGCCACCACGCAGCCCCTGAATAAGCGGCCCGCACAAAAGCGGCCGAGCGGCCTCCCACATGGGTCTGTATCCCTTGCGGAAGAGAAGCACCTTGGAAGTGAAGAATCATTTTTATTAGAATATGTATATATATATATACATAGATATTGTTAATTACAGAGGAATAGAGAGAGAGAGAGGGAGAGAGAGGGAGAGAGAGAGAGAGAGGGAGAGTGAGAGAGAGAGAGAAAGACAGAGAGGGAGGGAGGGAGCGAGGGAGCTCACGGTGGAAGCTCACGGTCTTCCCCCGAACCGGTCGCGAATTCTTCGCCAACTGTTATGTCGGCAAACAGGTCCTCAAAGTAAAGGTAACCTAGATTGTCACTTTCAGTTTTCTGGAAAGGTAGAAGATCCTGGCTTGACGGTGGTCGGTGGTCCTCAAACAGTTTCGGGCCGTTCATAAGTTGTTTCAGCAGTGACCGCGGCATCTTCGTTCCTGGTTAGAAGAAGCGTGGACTTTGTCCATACACAAGTTTGAAAGTATTAGATACCCTTGGATCAGTACTGTGGGGCCCGTGAAAACCATGCTGTTGGTTGCGAAGACACCCGGTTGAAATTGGTGTTCGGACACTCCGTGATGTTTATCATATCCAGCAGTGGCAAAGAACCAGTCTGCCTCGATGGCTGTGGGTTCTACACTAGTGCTCGCCGAGTTAGTAAACTGACTCAAGACCAAAGTTAAGAGGGCGGCCTTGAACTGCCTGATACAGGGCACCATTGTGCATATTTGCACATGGTGATAAAGGAGGTCTGCCGCTGGTATGGTGACAAGCCGTGCTAAGTATGCTCCGCTAGAGACCTTAGGCCGCACAATTGCTCGTGCTAAGAATGGTGCAGCAGGTTGCTATGATAATCACCACCGACAAGCTGTCAAACAAATTGACCAAGTTGCTGCCATTTTGCAGGCCCCTATTGGCCAACGAACTGTCCCCACTGGGCTGTAAAGCCAACAACAAAGGGTAGTGGCCCCCGAGAACTAACTAAGCAGAAATTCTTGCAGCGTTTGGTCAGCAAGCAAAAATATGTGGAGGCAGGCCATCGTTGGCAGCTGCGCGAACGCGGTGTCCGCTGTTCCCAGTGCAAGGTCAAGTTGTACTTCTCAACTTCCTGGCCACTCTTGCGGCGAGGGGCGTCCACTGAGTGTGCGCGCAGATTGGGGGATGAAATGACTGAACGATCGAGTTGTGGAGGTGGGGCCGTGGTGGAGCATGAACCTGGGTTGACTGACCTTGGAATGTTGAACGCTTTGCATGGGCCGGAACCTAATTCTGAGGTGGTTCAGGCCGTTAATTTGGTTTGGAGCCAGCGCGGGGGAATGTTCGCCAAGGGGACACCAAGCCTAAACTAGTTGAACCTCGCTGGCTCAAATTGAATGTAGAGCGCGCTGCTCTTGTTGCTTCCTTAATGGCACAAGCGCAAGCTTTTCCGAAAACTGATTTGGGACACATCTCTTTGTGTTTGGTCCGACTTCTGTAAGTTGTGCACGCTGTCAGGATTCGATCACTTACAAAGCTTCTGGAGCTGACTTAACTACTTCGTTGCAAAGTTCAACTTGCATCGCCATAGGAAATGCTGCGCGCCCTGAAGCGCACGCCTTGCACAAGCTATTTCAACATGGTAGTAAGCGGAGGTGTGTTATGTGTGGGTCTGTTCTTGTTCGTGCAGGAGATGCTTGGAAAGAGACGACAATGCTCAACAACCGTTGTTTGCAGCGTGTGCCCGGTAGACCTACTGACCAGGCTGATGCACGGAGGCTCCTGCAGCAAGTCAGGGCTTGGATGAATCCGTCGCAGTCCCTTAAAGCAATGTTTTTGAGCTCTCCGGAGTGGCTGGCGTCTGTTGGCAGTCGCCACAGCACTGGACCAGTCCCAAACTCTAACTTTTTTGAGCTCATGATTTCGGCCAACGTTTGCTTCGACCTTCTAAGTTCTTGTCGGCTGCTAGTGTCCGCTTTTCCACAAACGAAACGAAAGCTTAAAGGTCAAACACTTGCAAACCAACTGTGTTTTGTGGCCGTATGCCTTATGCTAGTGACAGTGATGTGAGTGTGGCCGCCGCCTCCTCCAATGAGCCTGCACTTTGAAATCCTGATGGACAAGAACTTTGCAGCCGCTTATGCCGCCGGCCTTCTGTGGCACGCCGAGCGTTGAAGATGTTTGGGAGTGAACTTCGCACGGAGCGTTTTGGAATTGAGCGTAAAAAGGGAGGGAGGGAGGGAGGGAGGGAGCGAGAGAGAGAGAGAAAGAGAGAGAGAGAGAGGCCCCCCAAATAGATAGAAACGTAGATCCCCACTAATAATGTGTTGGAAATCGTTTCTATCTATTTGGGGACCACTACAAATAACAATAGTGGAACAAAACAAGAGCAGATTCTTTGGTGCCACTTCTCTCCTTTTGAGAGGTCACTACGGCAAACAAGCATTGTTTCTCAACTTCGGCCAGAGCGACAATGACACCAAAAGGTCTATGGGAATATCTGAACATCGGAATCCGAAGGTTTTGGTGTTCTTTTGCTGTTCTGGAAGTGTGGTGGGCAGCTCAGCCTTGTTTCTGGCGCCAAGTAAGATGATTCCTTCATGCACTCCTGCTGAGATTGGCTTAAACCATTTCCGTCTTTTGCTAGCGGTGTGTTGGCCATGATGAGAGTGGGTCATGTTTCTAGTTACTGTATATATAGTACACACCAATAGCTTTTGAAGCCATGGATAGTTCATTGTAAGGACGTCTTGTCCGGCCACTTCGTACTTCCAGAATGAATGACATGCCCAGTTTAAGACCCCTCGACACCCGATGTCTAGCCGGCTCGACACCCGGACCACGCTTTTTGGCACCCGAAAACCCCGGCGGATGTGGAGCATGTCCAGTCCCAGACCCTCCCATCCCAAACAGGGAGTGCTCCGACCCTCGTTCCAAGCAAACCGCCGGATGGCCCGCTCCACCCGCTCCATTTTCGGATGGGAGCCCCGGGCATTGTGATCCCTTGGAACCTCTGAGGGCCGCAGCAAGTAGCTGTAGTGCCGATAGAAGCCCTCGCCAAGCCACCGCGGCCACCCGAACAGTTGTTCGGTTCAACGGATGGGTGTGAAAACTCACTCAGCGGGAGCTTAAAGGGATGGGGGAAAGGCGGGAAAAATGGTGAAAGGGAGCTAGGTTTTCCATGTCGAAGCATTCGTTTGGATCATCCGAAACACGAAGGTGTCTTCAAAGATCTTAAGTGAACCTTCTCAACGTATCTTGTCCGGACATGTTTCTCTACAGCCATGTTCAGAGGGTGCGGAGAAACATCTGCAACATGTCTGTCTTCTGAATCGGGTGCCCCAACAACAGCCAGTGGACTGTCGGTATAATTGAAGTGATGCGTCATGGTTTAAGCTATGCTCATGTTGCCGTGATCTGTTGACAGACAAAAGAACTACGCTTGGTATATCTGCAGAATCATCGGCCAGTTGTTTGCTGAAGAAAATCTGGTGGGTAGTTGACTTCAAAATTGCATTTTCTGAAGAGTTTTGGAATGTCCACAGAATCGAGCGATGCTGTCCTCAATGGTGTTGAAGCTGCCCAACTGCTTCAGACCTTCCATGTACCTTGGCACGATTCTTGAGGGTTGTGGTGGTAGGCATAGAACTCTGATGCACTGATGAAGCATACTAAAATATCCTTTTGAAGATCAAGTTCATCTTTCTGATGTTTCAGCAGGTGCAGCTATGTAGTTTTCCAGGAAAATGAGTGCCGATAAGCTCAAACTCTCTGTGCTGGAGCAACGGACCACAGAGATCCACGGAGGATGATGGTCTATCTTCTCCCTACAACTGGGTGTTTGCTGATCTTGCCGTCCGTGTAGTGCTGAAAAAGCCTGATGAAAACCCATCTATATAGATCCAATTAGCTGCGCTATTTGATCGTCCATCAAGACCCATCAAGTATCAAGAGAAAAGTTGAAAACCCATTAGATGTGGTGCCCATTTTCATGCTGCCCAGTGGCTGCTCGCTTTCCTTGCGATCGCTGGTCTTCTTGTCGTACCTCCAGTCACTGGAAGACAGGAGTGGATCTCTCCCACGAAGAGGAGTCAAACACAGACGCCGGACATGGAAGGACTACAGGGCTCCATGCAGCTGGCTAACCTGCGTTCGCTCCAAAGCTGTCAAACCTGCTGCCTGGGTTGCTGGTCTCTGCTTACAGATCTTGCAGTAACTGTTCAGAGATGTCATCTTCTTTCTGAGACCCACTCCATCGCCAATGTTGGCGGAATCGCGCTTTAGCACAGCAGTGCAGATATGTGCAGATGAGTCCGGATTCAGTGGCTGAATCCCATTGAACCTCTCCAACCAATGAACTGAACAAAGCGCCAGACATGCTCAAAATCATCCTGTAAATCTCCAAACTTGGTCAAGAACGACCACGTCGGTTTCCTGAAGACTTTCTGGAACCAAGCCATCCGACCCCCTTCGGACCGATGTCGTTAGACTCGAAGACGACCCCTTTCGGCACCAGAAGGTCCATGCGGTCTCCAGTGGCGTTTCATCGCTGGGATATTGGCCCTCCTGCACCCGCAGGTCCTGGCACTCCGAAGGACGGAGTCAAACGGTCCCGAAGGAGTCGTCGCTGTCAGGCGATGCTGTCCGGGTGTGGTCCTCTTGGGCGAAGGAAACGAAGGGATTGGGGGCAACTGTCGCAGCAGTCAATCCAGGGGCCCCAGCACTCAGCTCATTCGTCTGTCGGTGGCTATGTCTAAACATTTCTAAACTCAGGGGACGGCCCAATGGTGGTGCCGAGATCTGAGTCTTCCCCGCGGTTCCGGGCATTCATCTAGCAACTCCAGGAACTCCAAACTCAACGGATGGCCCAGGTAGTTGAACATCAATTCTCTAAAATGTTGAGACCTCAACTGCTCTAAGTCGCCATTGACCATTTAGAATTGACTAGAACATATTACAGTAAGAACTCGCCAAAATTTCCGTCGTTCATGACAACCAAGGAAACCGGTTTTTCCCAAATGTACACGTCGAAGCATTTTGGCATGGTGGCCTTCAAAAAGGGTTCTCCGAGAGGAAATCACCACATGATCTTGTGTCGGTCGGCACATGTGAACTACCCGAAAAGTGCACGACCAACCGCCCGAAAGCAAGTCTAGTTGAAAGATCCCTTTCAACTCCAGCTTCAACCTTGGTCAAGCAATTGGTCGTGGGGATGAACAATCCCTGATCTGTTCCAATTTGGGGCAAAGGGTCTCATGTTGAAATGAGTCTTCCCTCTTATTATCCCACTGGACGACACTGGCCACCCAACATGCAACCCCTCCTCTGGATCAATGCCACAGCTGGACATGTTTCTCGGCACGGTGCTGTGATGTGGTCTTGGTGGGCCCACGTGTTTGCTGAGATGGTTCACTTGTAGATTTGAGGCTCCAAGCTTGGAGATGTGCTAGGCCAAGCTTTGGGGCACGCTGGGGCAAAAGGATCCGATCATGCCTTGTAAAGAGCTGCCATGGTTCAGGATCACATTCAATTTGCGCTACAGTCCTTTTGCGTCCGCTAAAGCAACATGAACAAATTTGGTCAGGTTTGATCTGTGTCATTTCTCAAGACATGTCCATGTGATGATTAGACTGGGTCCTAACATGATGAATTCATGACTGCATCTGTATGTCTTGATGAACTCTTTCCTGGCTGGAAACTGTTTGAAGAGTGCCAAAAGACCAGGGAGATCGCACCTGTCCTCGTCACTTCCTGGAAGAGTGGACGGAGATCGCAATCTCCCTAGCTTTGAGAGAAGATTGTTTTTTTCAGATCGCACCAAAACCTCGGAAGCTACTAGTAACAAGTGCCTTACTAGTAGTAACAAGAAGCTAGTAGTAACAGGTGCCACGCTAGTAGTAACAAGAAGCTATTAGAAACAATATTTAAACAGAATTCAATTAGAATCTAATTGAAATCCCATCTCTTCAGACGTCGGCGTCGGCGGAGTGGGTCCGCCAAAATCTGTAGCTTCAGCCCTTCATGTTCGATGGGAACGGGAGTCAGACCCAGAGAGATCATCAAATCATCCCCCGAATCTGCTTGGATGCGAACGCCTGTGATCCACCAAAAACCTGAGAATCTGCACAGCAGAAATACAGCAGAAACGTCTAGACCTGGGACTTGGAGAGTTTGGCATCCAGCTAACTACACAGACTACATAGACTGCAAAAAATCCGCCAATAAGCATATCATCTCCATTCCAAAATATTGCAAATGACCTAAGCGCAAGTTGTGAACAGGATACCAGTGAGGCTCAGTCCCTGCCGCCCAAGGCCTTTTGTGCTCGCATAACGTTTGAGTAAGACGTCCGACAGCCACACCCTGCTTCCAGCTTTCATCCCAAGGCCAAGAAACCTGTGCCACCTGTGATCGGCCATCTATCTGGAATACCCCGCCGATTTCAACGGGAATAATGAAGCAGCGAAGTGCTTGAAAAGTGTCGTGAGACGCTTGAAACTGCCTTGGACGGTCTGCAGTCCAGATGTGGGTTTCTTCTGTCCATTTACATATATTTCCTCTGCTTGGGTGTTTGTTGTTTCGAGCCAAACCCATTTCTCACCCGGACTCAAACATCCTTGCTCGCTCTAACATTCAAGGGAGTACTGGCCAACCTCACACCTGCGGAGTCCTCGGCCGACGAAACTCCTGTCGAAGAAACTGCTGAAGTTCTCGGCGGTGGGAACTGAACATCAGCTGTGTTGGGATGCTCGTCTAGTGTGAGAAGGTGGCCGTCCTGGTGACCTAACAGTAGAAATCTTATAACTTGTAAAGGTTCTCTAAATCGATCCAACAGTAGGACTCAAGACTTAGTCACTACAGTACCCAACTCTAAGCTCGTCCAGCAATTAAGAGCTCACCCTGAGAAAAAGAAACAACACCTGAGGTTGTGTAAAAAACCGCTATCTATCTTTCCCTATACCACTTTTGACGTTATCTTTTTTCTTCATTATCGGTTTGCAGCACTTTGACTAACCGCAACAAATGTAGTATAATCTATACCGTATAATGTTGTGTGTGTGTGCACTACATGCATGTGGTGTGTGGAACCTTGCACATATGAAAACATTAGGCACACTTCATTCCAACTAGGCCTATGTGGTGGCCTGCCTACGGAACGGTGTTTTAGGCTCGCTGTGTTATCGTTTTTGCTATCGTTTTGTTATCGTGTTCATGCCTGGTGCAAGTTGGAAAACCATGTGGCACAACAATGCTGTAGCGCAAGGCTACAGCGGTCCAACCCCTCCCACCTCTGTCCAAGCATATACCCACCAAGAGCAGTCATGCATTGACCCTGACAATTTGGAACAGTAGTAGGTTTTCTGTGTGTGTGTCTTCTTCACACCACCTCTCGCATGTCAAGGGTTTTCAACAAGAGTCATCGGGGGTTAGCATGTGTTTTTTCTTCCTTATCGTTTTACAGGGGATTGAGCATGCTTCCAGAAAAACGGACATGCAAATACTAATTTCTTGCGTGGGGGGATTTTATACTCTCTCACCTCTATTCCAGAGGATCAAGACAAGGACTGGCACCGTTTTTGCTGAAAACCGTTGACACGTTGACTCCACGTCACTCCACACATTGAAGAGTCCGTGCGCTCGCGCACAGCGGAACGTGCGCGCGCGGAGTGCGCGTGCCTCGTTGGGTTCAAAAGGCACCGAATCCCGTGTACGCATTGCCACAAAGAGTCAAGCTGTCCAAGTGACCACTAGAACCTACTTAATCTGAACAAGCAAGCAAGGACCCATCGTGATGAGTGTTTTCCGGCTCCTGAGCAGTCTCGGTGTGTGGGTTTGGGCAAAGAAACACTTTATGAACATCAAACAAAAGGGCGTTTCTTGTAGATAAAGTTGATCTTCACCCCCAAACTCTCCTGCAAGATGGGTGTCGGTCGATCTACAGCCAGTTCTTATTAGCAGAAACCCTTGGAAAACTCACACCATCTGGATTGTCCCTTGGAAACCCGTGGGAGCTACATTCCTCCGAGATGGATTTTGTCTCGTGTGTTCATGCATCGACAAAAATCCAAGTTACCACTTCTCTGGGAAGTGCCATCGATCTTAGATCCTCGGCATCAAAACATCTTACAAAGACCAAACCCAGCATCTGAGACGGTCTAAGGTTTGTGCCTTCCAACATCTACCAATGATAAATAGGTGTGTTTGTACATAACTAAAACATACTGAAACTGCAAACCAAAAACAAGAGATCACCCCTTTGACTCTATTTGAGCCACATTGTCCATGGATTCACAATTCATTTTGTGCTGTCTTATCCTTATGCAGGGCATCTTTCAAAACCCCACGAACAGTCCTGAACTCATTTCCAGGCCGAAAACCTGCGAGCTGGTGTTGTTCGGTGGTAGCTGAGTGGGTGGCCAAATTGAGCCCAAAAGAATCGGAGATTGAATGACTGGTGCGACAACAGGTGAGGAATCAGGGTGGCTGAATGACTGGTGGATCGCCCCACCGACAGAGTTTTGGAGAATGGATCCAGGTACCTGATCCAGCCGCACACCCTACGAAATCCTTGCACCACATCAATGATCTTGGGATTTTCTCCAGTTGGCCTTCCAACCAGAAGCACCAATCTTGATGGAGATTTCGCACCAGGCCGCACCCAATCGATGGATTTTGTGGACCGGGGAATGCCAAGGCGGTACATTGCTGCCAGACACTGGTTCTGCAAGCCAACTATTGGAACACTGGAAAACTCTTGTTCGAGCCATTGTGTTTGTTCGAGCCATTGTGTTTTGCAAAATGTTGCAGTGCAGGAAGAATACCCTTAATTGATCTCAATTGCTGTTCTACACACCACCCTAAAGCTGCTTCTGACTCGAATGCCAAATGGCAGTCGTCTGCCGAAACATGGCAGCACAACACCACCCCAAAAAGGGATCTTCAAGGAACCGATTCAGTGTAATTGTCTGGCGGATATTCATTTTTTGCTGTCCAAGGATTCAGAGCCGAGATGGTCGAGATTCCCAGCACTCCAGTCCGATGGACGGTTTGATGTGACCCGGTTTCATGTAAGGGACACCCTGGGCAAACGCGTATATATACATCTGTATGTTTACAACCTGAACGACCTCTATGTTGGACCACCAACATAATGAACCATCCAAAATATATGGTCTTCTTCTATCAAAAGAGGGGTCTAATAGGTTCTGGGTATGTAAAAACCATAGTATATTATACTATATATATATATTATATATTTTTCTGTTGTATTTTACTATACTATATATTGTATATTGTAAATTATATATACAGAGTACCTATATATATATAGAAAATTGTATTGTTATATATATATATATGTTGACCCAGGCACACTCAAGTCAGGTGGAGACTGCTCTGGATTAAGTCAGATCCAAGAGGCCTGGCTTCCAATCTTGGACTCAGACGACTCAGTTTGGACTCAGATTGCGTGGTTCACAGTCCAACTAGAGGTTCAAACTTCAAACTGGATCCCATCACAGGCATCGCATGGTGATACAACGTTGTTCACCCTCCTCCACCTCGTGGCCCCACCCGCCTTC